ACATTTCGTGATTTCCTGGTTGTCGGCTTGGCGCCGGACACTTGGCTCGCATTCCACGTGAGCGAGGTCCTCGTTCGGGTGTTAACCCACATTCCCCGTCCCAATGGATCAAATCGCTGCCGGACCTTCACCCACATTTAATGCCCGCTATCGACCGAAATGTAATCGTACGTGCATAGCTGCATCGCCTGCACACGTAGCAACGAACACCTGCGACCGGAAACCGTACAAGCCGTCACGCCCATGAGGCACGAAATTATTGTAAATTACCCGCTGTAAATATGCATCTGCCTCGGTGTATATCCGCACTTTGTGTGTGCGCGCGTACGCGTGAGTCATCGTGCAGCGTTGGCGAACTTTTTTGCCTCTCTTTTTCCGCATGCGTCCCTCTTGTCTATTTTCGAAGACGCGCCTTACGTGTACCTTTTCGACACGCCATCACTGTTTTTTACTCGCTAACCGAACCTAATTGTCATGGAGTAAATGTTAACGTTTTTACATCGACGAGTTGTTTAGCCCTCGACATGCATCATCCCTGCGCACACGAATGTTTATTCGTTAGCGAACTTGCAACGACAATTAACACACTTGCACAGTCGACATCGCTTTGACTCTCTCTCTCTCCCTCGTCCAGACATAAAGCCTCGAGGCAAAGCCATTAAAATATAAAAAAAAGAAAAAGCCATTTCTCGGTCCCCTTAATCACGCCAGCGCGCGGCGCGCGGAAAGTCCCCGAGCGCCAAAGCTTTCTTTTCACGGACACTTTGCGTCGCGCGTCGTTTGATTTTTCGCACAAGGCATTTTTGCTTCGTTAGTTTCCTACCTACGTGAATGCACGCGTTGCCTTGTGCCTCCTCTTACGCGTACTTTCGCCTTCGCTGATTTCCCCCATGCCGATGAGAGAGAGAGAGAGAGAGAGTGGGAGAGAGAGAGAAAATTGCTTCGATGTCAGCTCGTTTGGTCATTGAATAATCGTACCTTTTTCTTTGAAAAAAAAACGTGTATGAATTTTCACTTCCGCTCGTACCGCGAAAACGACCGCGGCTTCAAGGGGCTAAAAGAATTGTAACTCTCTCCACTTTGTTTTTACGATCGCGTGCTTTCCGTACGTACACACTTTCCGACGAAAATTTGCATTGAAAATAAAAACTGCGGTCAATAGTTCTCCCGTTTCGTGGCACTATGAAAACTTGTGTAGTTGCAGCTTCGAGATAAAATTGCCTCCCTTCAAAAAATATGTATGCGATGCATAGCGCGTCGTCTCTAGAAGGTATTATAAATCCGCTTGGCGATGACAGCCAGCAGTATACAATGCTTCCTCGAGGCAGACTGAAAGATTAAATCGCTTCGGTCGCGTTGCGATCATTCGGTCAATGCAAAAGATTCGTCTGCTACCGTCAGATGCTTATTACTCTCGAGTGGGAATGCACGTGGCACTTTTTCTTTTCGATTGGTCGATTTTTCATGTTGACGTGTGACTCTTGTCTGTTAGAAATGCAACTCCAAGAAAAAAAAATGACGGTAAATAAAGAGTAACGCGCTCATGTAATTCGATTCGCCTCGTCGACTACAAAAATTAGACCATCAGCTGTCTGCATGTCGAAAGCGCACCATTAATATATGACATCGCCTACGTACACTGTAATAAATTCACTTTTGTCATTTATTTATTCAGACTCTCGTGCACGCACATAGCATTAAATTGCAAATATTGACGATGCGTTCATAGAATATTGCACGCATTCAGAGGCGATGGAAACTGGAGCGCAAGCTCGTTTCTGGTTCGGAACATCAGTGCGTCGACGACGACGACGGGACGTAATGGCTCGATTTATCGCCGTCAATTGCGCTTCTACTATAATTTTCTCCCTAGCAAAAGAAAATTATCTCAAAAACGGATTAATGCGCTGGTATCGCTATTATCAATTCGCAGAACTCTCGAGATAGCGAGTAGAGGCTCTTGGCGAAAAGTAAAAGAAAAAAGAAACAACAGAGTCGCACGCGAGCTGCGCGTGTCCGCACGCGCACAAATAGTATTAGGCGTGGACGTGACGTCTTTTGAGAGGCATAATACCCAAGCGTAGGCGACATCGGCCCTTTTCGCGACGCCAAGCAGGGGGCTATTAAGAGGTAACATGTTTTCTTCAACAGAGCCTCTGCCTGCATCCTCATTAACCTCCTGAATGCGTCTCTTCATTCCACGTACAGTTGGTGCGTTGCTCCTTTGACCAGGTGAAGGAGCTCGTCGGGCTTAATATGAAATACGATTTGATATGTTCGTGCAGTCGCGTGTTTGAATTCCTCATTCGGCTAACAACGTCGTATCGTTAAACGAATAACCTTGTATTCGAATTTGAATCTACTTACCCTATTTTATACTGGCGTCACGAAACTAGAGCTGCAGTCGTGAATCCACAAGCGCATCTTTGACACACGAGCAACTCAATAATGTCTCATATGAACGATACAATTACAGCTCTCTCTCTCTCTCTCTCTCTCTCTCTCTCTCTCTCTCTCTCTCTCTCTCTCTCTCTCTCTCTCTCTCTCTCTCTCTCTCTCCTCCTCCCTACATAAAATTAGAGCATTACATTGTAAGAACGAGATGTGATCCGACACATCAAAAGAACGCACGAGCCTAAAACTTCCGTTTGCTTATGCGAGCGGCGTTTATTTTTAGACATTGCGCTATTCTTCGCTTGATTCTCCCAAATATTATTCGCATCGTTACACATTGATCTATATTTTTTAGTTATTCTCACGCGGAGCTTTTACAATCCACCTGTTCGAATCACTCCGGAAGATATAGGCGTGAGATTATCTCATCGCTTTGGTGGCTAAAGGTCAGCCTTTGGTATAGTGATGACGACATACCGCCAAATATCTCCATGACAACGCCCGCAGTATGTAACCTTCAACGTGATTAGACGCCACTGGGTTCTCTCTTTCTTTCGTCTTCTTTCTCATCGATTGAATTGGCCCGAAAAGAGAAAGAAAGAGAGAGAGAGAGACAAGATTGTCTTTTTGTCGTGATTGAGAGCTTCACTCACGACTTCGTTCTGATTGATCGGTCAATTTACTAACGACGTGACGACGAACGAAAATATTTTTGGTCGAGTAATGTTCGGCTGTGTGCTGTGAACGCGACACCTGTTAACAAAGACACGCCCTGAGCCATTTGGAAGTGTAGCTCGTCGATTATTGGTGTACGTTGCTTTCAGACGACTGAACAAACACTCTTTTCTTCGTATAACGACCACGGCTTAAGTTTTTGAGATAACGACGCGCGTGTAAAAGCACTGTCGTCGCAGCCAAAGCAAATGAAAGCTGAAAAATTCAATTTTTTCCACTAAGGACCCATTAAATACTTAATCTGCGATCAACGAGGCGATGGCGTTCCGCGCTCCAGCATGCATCGACCTAGTTAGAAAGAGAGGCACGACCTTGTTTAACGCAGCCAACGCCACACACATATACAAGCGTGTGGAGTGTGTCCATCCGCTTTGCCGTGCTAATACGCGTGTCTCGCTACGTTTATTGTTTGCGGCAATGATGCTGGATTAAAGCTTTGAGCTCTTTTTATTTTTTTTGGAGCACGCGCTAAATTTATTATATAGTCTTGAATTAATTGGTACTTTTGTCGACGTGAACACTATTGGAAATAACAAATGTATCGTTAAAGGTTTACCACACGGCAAAATGAATGTCCAAAGCAACGCGTAAGACTTGTTTTAACTGCATCCTCAGATAAGCATTTAACATGCAGGCCGCCAAAGCATTTCATTCACGAGGAAGTAGTAAAATGTGAAAATGACCTAGGAGGTAGGAATGTTGATAAGCATTCGTAGCATCGTTGCAATCGAAGAGAATAACGCACATACAACCGAGGCTCTCTTGTCGATTTTTAACGGGTAAGAGAAGTAGTGTATACCTCTCTCACGTTTAATTTTTTGTATAATCGTTCGCGCAGGCGATTTGTTCAACGAGAAGTGTCAATTTCATTGTAGCTGCAAAGACAACACATATTTCTAGACGTTTTTCTCTCTTTCTTTTCTTGCTTTCGTAAGCAAGCTACTTCGTCGACCTGTGCCGAAAAACGTGGTCGTTCTCTCTCGCAGTAAACCGAATGAATTTCTGCGGACAGAGATTGATGTGCACGAGTATGTCGAGTACATTGGCACACAGCGATCATATTGGTCGATAATTCGCGTGAGCAGTTCTTTCTGATCGCCGCCAGACGAATCTATATATTAGTCTAACTCATATCTAACTGCGGCGAGCGGCAGAAAGGCTTCGTCTTGCATATATACTTAACGCGATTGGCACTAATCTGCCTACATACTTACGCACACATAAAAAACGCACGATTCCTTTTTTCTTTCTCTTCACTGTCAAGTTGCTGAGGTTTCTCTTATGAACAAAAAAAAAGAAAAAAGGCACATCGAGCTGTAACTGTACGAGCGTACATTCGCATGAATGAAACCGGTTGTAGAGGCTTGAGTGTCTGGCCATCATCGACCTGTACTCATGTACTTGCGGCGTCTTCAAATGCCGCTCGGCAAATTTATCGATTATCTTACCCGCTGAAAGTCAAAAAAGCTTCTTTTATTCACCATTCCTCTTTCATTCCTTTTATTTTTTTTTTATTTTGGGAGTCGTTAAAGCGCAACGAGTCAAACTTGTCCGTCGGTATATCTTCGCATCGAAGACTACGCATCATATATAAATGCAATAGCTCGTCGTACTTTGCTCCTCAGGTCGAACCACAAATTCCTCGAGTTTTTATTATAACACTCACCGCACACGTACGTGCCGAGCTTAATTTGACACGCATATTGCTTATCTATATATTATACCGATGAAACTCGTAATGGAGGGAAAAATTGGTTGGCCTCGTTTCACCCTCACTGCCGAACATATTTGCAAGGCAAACGCGATAAAACTATTTTCTTTCTATCTTTCCTTCTTTTGCTTGATAGTTAAAAATGGTTTATTGCTTGCAGTTAAACGCAGAGGAGAAAAATGCCGGAGGAACGGAAGCCAAGCAGCGTTGAGCCGCCGCCGTCGTCTCAGCCGCAACCTACCACGGAGAATGGGGTTAACTCGCCGAGTAAGAGTCCTCATAATAAAGGCAAACTTACACTCGCCAGGATTACGCTGCTTGATGGCAATGTGAAAGACTTTAATATTGAGGTATATTATCATTTTATTTTTGTCTTTAGTGGATGCGTCGCAAGATCAAAGGAGTAAAATTGATGTAACCATTTTTTTCATTTCTGCAGAGAAAAGCAAAAGGTCAAGATTTGTTGGACAGAGTGTGCGCGAGTTTGAATCTTGTGGAGAAAGATTACTTCGGACTAATTTACGAGGACAAATATGACTCGAGAAATTGGCTCGATCTACAGAGGAGAATCTCAAAGTTCCTAAAAAGTAGGTGACGGTTCATCGTTTATTCGTTCACACTTTAGTAATACAATTACTAACATTTCTTTTTACACATTTACAGACGAACCTTGGAAATTCAATTTCGAAGTGAAGTTTTATCCACCCGATCCATCTCAGTTACAAGAGGACATTACGCGCTATCAGTTGTGCCTGCAGATTAGGAATGACATTATTACAGGACGATTGCCATGCTCATTCGTTACCCATGCGCTTCTTGGCTCGTATCTCGTGCAATCAGAGATAGGCGATTACGATAGGGAAGAACATGGCAAGACATATTTGAAGGACTTTCAATTTGCGCCTAATCAAACACCTGAGCTCGTCCAGAAAGTTATGAGTCTTCACGAAACGCACAAGTATGCGTTTACGAAATAATAAATAAAACTTTGAGAATTCTATTGATGTCATTTTTTTATTGTTGTTACAGGGGACAGACACCTGCAGAAGCTGAATTGCATTACCTAGAGAATGCAAAGAAACTAGCCATGTACGGTGTCGACCTTCATCCTGCAAAAGATTCCGAAGGTGTGGATATCATGCTGGGCGTCTGCTCAACTGGCATCTCCGTATACAGAGACAGATTGAGAATCAACAGGTTCGCGTGGCCGAAAATTCTGAAAGTTTCTTACAAGAGGCACAACTTTTATATCAAAATTAGACCGGGTGAGTTTGAGCAGTTCGAATCGACAGTTGGATTTAAATTAGGAAATCACAGGGCAGCCAAGAAACTTTGGAAAACATGTGTCGAGCATCACACTTTTTTCAGGTAATAGCTGTTTTACATGCTTAATTTATCAGCGCGTGCGATGTATGATCGTTTACAATGTTAACGTGTTTTTAGACTCATGAGTCCTGAGCCTGTTAAAAAAGTTGGACTACTGCCCCATCTAGGATCGAACTTTAGATATTCAGGACGAACGCACTACGAAACAAAAAAGATTCCGATCGACAGGCAACCACCGAAGTTCGAAAGATATCACAGTGGACGAAGAATGACCTCGCGTAGTATGGACAGTAAGTATATAAAATTGATATATTCGCCAAGTAAAGAAGTATTTCATATATTTGCGTTCAAAACATACCTGTGATGAATGGTCACATCAACATTGAAATAGGCTCGTCACAACCTGTGCTTTCAGCTTTAGGTGCGCAGAAGAATCTTGAACCTTACAGTTCCGAGCCGAGCAAAAGGCATACTATGAGCTACGAACCGGAAACGTTACCGACCATGGAGCACATTGATCAGAAACCAAGTCCCATTAAAAAGAAAGAAGAGGTATTATTTCTCATTTTGTTTGGAATGAAAGTTTGAACGGAAACATATATTTTTGTTAGGGTTTAGACAGCATCGTGCGTTCGACAGTACTTTCTATATTTTTTATCTACGTGATAAATTTTTTTGTAAAATATTATTTCTGATGGTTATGCAAACATTATGTGTGGATACAAATTGGCTCACGTTTGAAAGTAACATTTTTATATTAATCATCCGTACTGATTCATGTATCATTTTAATCATAAGCTCTATGGATTAACTAAATGAGGTGTGAATGAATAATTGGTTTTGGTATTAGCTCTGAAATAATATTCAAAATTGACATCTTAAATTCTGCTCACTTTGCACAATTATTAATAAAAATGTTATTCACTTAGCAATGCTTCATAAAAAAAATTGATCAATATTTTCACTATGTTTCTAACTTAATTTAACATTATATTGATTTACACTAACACCACTAATTAAACGGGATTTGGTTAATTTTGCCTGTAATATAATCTGTAGGGCTTTTTTATCATTTCTCAATGAACTGACACATAACTAACACTTGATAGCTGACGCGAAAAATAAGCGCTGGAACGACGTCAGCCAGCAGTGCGAGTAGCCTGGAAGGAGAGTATGACGCCACTGGCAAGGTACAGGAGACTACTAAAAACACCACCAAATCATTTACAATCATTCACCAATTCATCATTTTTGTAACTCATACATGCCTGTCGTAGTATTTTGATTATTGAGCCTATCACTCGGTGTTTTTATCGTTGATCTTGAAGCATGCCATTCTTTATCTTTTTGTCATTTTTAGTTCTCATTATTATTGGTATTTCACAATCTGTTAGTATATATACGTCAATTTTCATCAGAGTACACAATTTACTAACTCTATTATCTTTATCTTAATTTACATAGTATATATTTAATTATATTTTGTAAATACTTTGTTAATGTTTAATTTAGTTGTATACTCAAATGATGAAAATTTGTCGAAAAATCATGGATTCATGACGCATGACAGCACGGCAAACGCGTTATTTAGTTAGGTAGATAAATTATTCAAAGAACGTTCTAAATGTATAGATGTAGATATGCCAATAAATGATATGACTATTTTAATAAAGCTATCAGCTTTGATCGCTTATTGCATGAAGCGACGTGTGATTTTTGTGTATTCGTTTCCATTGTAGAAGCCTTTCGGTGGTATCGCGGTTCTACCGACCAGTCTATCGAAGAAGAAAAAGGAAAAGGATCAGAAAAACGAAAACGAAAAGGAAAATCGCAATGATCTTAACAAATCCGACAGTGTAAACGAGAGCATAGCTCTTGAGCCAATCAATGAAAAAACACCACCGAAAAAAGACGCGAAAAAGAAAGATAAGAGGACGCCAGAGAAGCCCGAAAAGGAGAAAAAGGAGAAAATCAAGGTAAGTCATTAGAGTGAGACTCGCACGATGCCCACGTACCGCCATCACCGCCATCACTAGTAGAACAAAAGATTCGTCAGATCTCACCCATCTCGAACGAACCAAAACGATCACACAAGTTTATAAATATATTCACTAATAGTAGTCGCCATGTGCTCATCAATCCCCCGTTAACCTGCAAATGCATCATTAACAAGCTCATGATCAAAACACAACTTATAAAGTCGAACTACATTGTTTTTGATTTTTGACCAAACAATGTTTTTATTGTTTTCTTTTTGTTTTTGTTCCGCGTGTACAACCAACCAAAGAGCCCTGTGAGTGCTTTTGGGCTGTTCGGTAAGCGAGATAAGGACGAGAAGCAGAAGAAGAATAAGAAGCTTGACGATTCCATGAAGAGTGATCAAGAGTCCGATGTGTCAATCTCAGAGAAAGCAAAAACACCCGATGAGAAATCGGACGCTGAAAAACCACCGTTCACCAAACCTTACGAGTATGTGGAACGCGAGATGTCGCCGTCGAAGAAACGAGTTGGTCCTCAAGGTTTTACCTACGAGACCAACAAACCGACTTCACCAAAACTTCAAGATCAACAGTCGCCTACTTCTGCTGGTAAAAAAGCTACTGGTCTAGCCTTCAATTATGCGCCCGGTGAACAGAAGAAATTAGAAGAGCAAGCAGAGAGGAGGAAAGTGAAGACTCCCGAGCCGATAACGACGGCTCCTGCTCTCCAGACCATGGGTATTAAGACACCTGGTCTGAACTACGTCGAGTCTGCAGGATTAAAGGAGCAGCAAAAGGGTGTGGCCCCACCAACTACGCCTCCCGCGACTATTACTAAGCCAACAGTACAACCACCTGCACCACCCACGACAGTGCCTGGCAGTGGCAAAGACCCCAAGAACTTGTCCGCAGCGTTCATCAAGGGTGAAGCTCAAGCTAAAGAAGCTCAGTCTGTTCCTGGTGTTATCGTTTCTGGTACTGAGAAAGTTGACACTGATTACCACGTACTGCCACTTCCAGATGGTTCAAGAATCATCGGAGGAGTTATCTTCACCAAAGATGGCAAGCCTCTAGATCAGAGCATCCTCGGACCGGAAGGTTCTCGTGTTATCGACGGCAAGGTCTATTCGAAAGACAACAAACTTGTCAAGAAGGCCGACTTTGGACCACACAGTCTGCACGTTATTGACGGTATAATCACTGGCAAGGATGGTAAACCAGTGTACCAAGAAGTCCTTGGAACTAATGGTAACTCTATCAAAAATGGCCTTTTTTACGGTCCCGATAATCAACTTCTTAACAAACACGCTCTTGGACCCGACTACACCCTCGTTAAAGATGGCAAGATTGTATCTAAGAATGGCAAGCCATTGCAGTATAACAAACTGGAAGCTGACGGAACGTACATAAAAGAAGGTCTGGTATTTTCTCACGACAGTAGGCCCTTGACTCAAGGTTTCTTTGGTGCCAATTACATCGTCGGTGGTATTGTTTGCAAAAATGACGGCAAACCTGTTACACAAGTTGCCCTCTTACCCGACGCCACTTACATACATGATGGCTTAATTTATGGGAAAGACGGTAAACCTTTAGATATCGGAGAGCTTGGAAATGGGGGTACTTGGGTCAGGGATGGCAAAGTTTACGATAAACATGGCAAACCTATAAAACACGTCAGCTTCGCATCAGATGGTGCATCAATCAAAGATGGTATAGTCTACGGCAAGGACGGTAAATTCTTGAACCAGGGTTCATTGCTACCCGCTGGAGCTCATCTGTTGAATGGTAAAATTGTCGGCAAAGATGGCAAATTCATTAAACATGCTTTCTACAAGCCCGATGGCAGTTTTGTCAAGGACGGTATAATCTACGACTGTGGAGGACGTCCCCTCAATCAGATTCCGCTTATTGCTGATGGTGCTTACGTCAAAAACGGCATACTTTACGACAGAAATGGTAAGCCACTCAACCAGAATCTGTTCAAAGCGAGTAACACTGGTATTAGAGAAGGCGTGATTGTAAATTCGGATGGTACCGCATTGAAAGAAGGTATTTTAGGCCCCAACGATCTGATTATCAAAAATGGACTAATCATGAGCAAAGATGGCAAGCCAGTGAAACATGAATCATTAGGATCAAACGGCAACGTTGCCAAGAAGGGTCTAGCTTACTCTAAATCTGGAAAATTGTTGAATCAAGATGCTCTAGTATCAGAAGGTCTTTCTATTAAAGACGGTAAGATTGTGACTAAGGACGGTAAACCCGTCAAATTTACGATCTTCAAACATGATGGCAGCTACGTTAAGGATGGTTTGATCTACGGACATGACAACAAGCTATTGAATCTCTGCTCAACTTTGCCCGAAGACAGTTATATCACTAATGGTGTGATTTTAGATCACACTGGTAAGCCCCTTAACCGAGATATCTTCGGTTCTGATGGATCATACGTTGCGAACGGACTGATTCACGACAAAGACGGAAATATTATTACCGAAGGTTTCTTTGGTCCCGATGGAAACAAAATTAAAGATGGATTGATTATTGGAAGGGATCACAAGCCTTTAACTCAAGATGAACATGGACCTGATGGTCTTGCGATAAAGGATGGTAAAATTGTTGATTCCGATGGCAAGCTGAAGAACCAGTCATCTCTGCTTCCTGATGGCTGCTATATTAGGGATGGAGTCGTTTACGATGTCAACGAGAGGCCGCTCAAACAAGGGGTCTTCAGAACTGATGAGACTTATATCAGGGATGGTTTGATCTGTGGATGGCGTGGACAGCCGTTGAATCGTGGAACTGCTTTGCCCAGTGGATACTACGTTGAAAAAGGACGACTGTACGCAAAAGATTGTCAACCATTGAACCACAGTTCATTTGGTCCAGAGGGCGGTTACATTGAGAACGGATTCATCTACGGCGTAGACCGGAAACTATTGAAACGAGGAACATTCGGTGACGACGGAAGCTACGTTCAGGATGGTTTGATTTACGGACCCGATAGAACACCTCTCAACAGAAATTTATCCATCGTGACTATTACGTACTACCGATATGGTCTGGTTTGCGACAAAAATGGCAAACCCGTCAAAGAAGCCATCTACAACGATGAAGGTGCAACTATTAAAAATGGAAAAGTTTACGATCGAAGCGGTCAGCCGCTTAGTCAAATGAAAACGAACCCGGACGGTACAATTGTTAAAAACGGCCTGACACTTGGAGTTAATGGAAAGCCGCTACTTCAGGGCCCTGTTGCTCCTGAAACTGCTTACATTAAACACGGCAAAGTATATGATGATAATAACCAGCTACTTACTCAAGAAGCTTTCGGTCCTGAAGGTTTAAAAGTCATGCAAGGTATTATCGTTGATGAAGCTGGTAAACCCTTAAAACATGCTTCTTTCGATTTCGAGGGTAATGCTGTAAAGGACGGTATAATTGTGACGCCTCAAAGCAAACCGTTGGACAAATACTACACGACAATCACGATAACGTTAATCAAGAAAGGTTTGATTTGTAACAAAGATGGCACGCCGGTATCTAGCGGCGGCTACTCCGAAGACGGCAGTTACGTGAAAGACGGAAAGATCTACGAAAAAACTGGGAAACCCAAGAATCAAGAATTGTTCGATGAGAGTGGTGCCTTTATCAAAGATGGTGTTATTTTTGCAAACAGCGGTCAACCTCTTGATAAGGAAGACGTCAGTATGAGAGATCTAAAAGCATTTGCTGCCAAGATGAATGTACCTAAGCAGAAGAAGGCTACTGTGTCTGTCAGTACACCGACGATTGTCAAGTCAACGACTAAGCAATCAATGATCAAGGACCAAGAGGGTGTCACTCAAAACGTCGTTGAGAGGGTTGAGGATCTTACTCCGGGTGGAACTGGACAGGTTACTGTTTCCACGCACACGAATAAGGTGAAGTTTTTTCTTGAACAGAATTTTAAAAACGAAAAATAATAGCGACTGTTTCGCAGTTGCGAAGATCTTTTAGAAAATTCATAGGGAGTACAAATAATTGTTTATATTTTTTTCCATTTTTTATTCTTCGTGTCTGTTTTAGATTGACGGAATGTTTTTTGTCATTGTTACATATTTTTCATATTTTCTATGAATATTTTTTAGTCTACTTTTCCATTCGTTTTGTGTATGTACTCCCATTTCTGATTTTGCAGAAAGCTTTCTTGCATGATACTTATCAACCTTTTTTTTATTTATTTTTTCATTTATACGTTAAGATTCGCTAATTTCACTGTAGAATGTCGACGTAAAGTATTACAGCTGTAGTCCTTAATTTCATTATTTCAATATATCTATATATTATATTCGTTACTGCATGCATCGTATTTCAAATTTTTCGAATTTGATAAACTATACTCATTAGCCGATTGTTGAATTGTCGATATATTTCAATCAAATCAATAAACATTAGTAATAGTAATCATCTTAAAAGTTGCATTAGTCACATAGTAGTTGTATTTAGGCCGAGGCACCTAGCGATGGTTCAGCTCCGTATATATCAGCAACTGCAGTTACCACCCGAACGGCAACGATGCACGAGGATTTAGAAAAGAATCAGAAAACTAGCCAGGTTCGTTATATATTATTATGTAATTATAACATCAATCATTGATAATAAATCATATTTTTTATAAAGCTAAATTGAATTTGTACAAAGTAGATTAAAATATTGTTATCGAAGTTAAGCCCTAATTAGATGATGATTTTTATATTCTTGAAAAAATTTTATTGAAATTGAAATTTTAGTTACTACTTAGGGTAATAGATTAGTAGTATTTGATTATTTATTTGTTATATTAGGTTGAAGAAAAGACTGTAGCACACACCACCTCCACAAGTGCCACTAGGCAAGAACAACGCACGATCACACAAGAAGTTAAAACTACAAGTCATGTACTCGCTGGAGAGCAGGTAAATATAACATTTTCCTTAGAGCACGATTAGTCTTTAGGATGCTCGTAAACGTTTGTATTTTTATGAAGGCATGTAACTATTGCGTCTCGTCTGTTTTTATATTTTTTAATTGAATCATGAGAAGTGTATTGAATTTTTCTAATTTTTATTTCCTGTAAAAACAACAAAGGAGAACTTTATCATATGAGTCGTCAAGGAAAAAGAAGTAACTACATGAATGAATTACCTATATTAATAACGTTTTTTATAACACACTAAAATATACAAAATTCACACCGCACTAATCACGTGCAAATATCACGTACACTTACATAAAAAACTAATATAACAGATAGTAATAAATAATAGTCTCTTAAAATGTTAATTCCTTGTTGCTTTTTACAACGAATGTCTATAACTTTTAGTTTGAAAATCTTCACGATGAATCGAATACATAAATTGTATTTAATGGCCATAATCATGATCAAAAAAACTCATAATTTTAATTTATTTTTGAACGTTCTTTTTATTTCAAATACTCATACATTATCGATTTGCCGGCTTTGGCTAACACATTGCATGATGTAGCTGTTTTTACGACGACTCAGTACATCCAGCTCAAGCAGTTGCGATTCCGGAACACCCATTGATCTTGATGATGATCAACAAGCTTTCTGCAATCAATACTACCAGGTAATCTAATTTAACCAACGTCATTAATCAGGTGATATTTTTAAAAAAATTGAAGGTACAATTATAATAATGACATGGTTTTTTTATGAAAGTAGTTGGAATCAAGCCGTCGGAATTCGCTTAATGATAAAACTCGTTATACCTAGTAATACCTAGCAAGAACATTAATCATTTGAGATTATGTAGGATCTGTATTAAAAGAGTCCATTCACGTACGTTGTAAAATACGCACACATATAGTTATTACATAAAGTCAACTAAACACATATCAACGTTTAAATGCTTAATCGACATTGTGTATTTTATCATATCGTTTAAATCACATTGGATGTATCATAAACACAGCTTTTAATCGCATAAATCATTAATTTATTATACCACAACACTTCCTCAACAGAAGAAATCGACAGTTTTAAATCTATGCGGTATAGTATAAAATATAAGAACAAAGTAATTGAAAATTTGGTGTGATTCTATATGTTTTCAAGTCTTTATGGAGTTTATTATAGTTGTAAATCAATTGTATGATCACGATTTACGACGTGAAAATTGCAATCAGGTAAGGTGACGATGAATGAATACTAGTTGTTGATTCAACTATAATGCATCATTGACTGTGTTTGGCGTGATAAAGTGTTGCATCTTTATTTTATGAAAATTACAAATATGTATGATTTGATTTTTGAGTGAATATCAACTAATAATAATTTTTTTTAACATTAAATTTATTTTCTTAAATATAATTACAGATTTTTTTCAATGCAGTATATTAAAAATGATCCTATCAAATAACCATAGAAATGAAAATTAAGTAGAATGTTGTAAATAATATGAATGATATAAATATAATCATTGTTAATAGCAAAGATTTTTCTCTAGCTTATACAATTAATAGCTCTGCAAATCTTAATTTGCAATGATTGCATTGTAGGGTGATCCAGCTGGAATAGTTGCAACGGAAAGTCACGTCTATACAGGTGAACCAGAGAATAATGTAACCACGACGACAACGGTGCCTTTAGTGGCGACAGAGTCCAGGAAAGTTGCGGTTGAAAGCGAAGATGGAAATTACAGCGCTACAGGCGAAATTGTTAGCTCACAGACTATTTCAAGCAAAACTCGTACTGTCGAGACGATAACCGTAAGTTGACGGATCATTTTTCAATAAAAAACAAAGAATAATTTGCACGTTTTCGACAGAATGAATCTGATATTTCTTTGATTTTCTTTACAGTACAAAACTGAACGCGATGGTGTTGTGGAAACACGAGTGGAGCAAAAAATAACGATCCAATCAGACGGCGATCCAATTGATCACGACAAAGCTCTTGCTGAAGCAATACAACAAGCTACAGCCATGAATCCTGATATGCAGGTGGAAAAGATAGAAATTCAACAACAGACGGCACAGTAAGGATCGTTTGATAAAAAACTACAGGGTACCCTAAATGTTAAAAGTAACATTTGAAAATCATTAATTTATGGAATGGATGTTCCATAAAAATCTTGAAATGTGTTCATGAGAAATACAAATGAAAAGCTATTCATTTTATCGTATTATTGAGAATAGCAAATCGTCAATTATGATAATCGACGATTCTATTTTTAGCTTGTGTTTCAATTTACTTTAAGAAGTAAGGATGCGTGCATTCAGCTTCGCAAATGATAGATTTCATTAAATTGCGTGGAATCGCGTATCATTAAACGTACTAGATATACATTGCATTGGCTTGAAAAAATCAACAGGGTACCCTATCTACGCTTCGCTTGAAGAAAACAAAGACTTCTATAAGTGTGAGCAATAAAATTGCTATGCATAAATGTATGATAATACAATCGTTTTTAATGGATAGAATATCGAGGAAAAAGTCATGATTCGACCGCGATTCAATCAAGATCCACTCTCATATTTTACTGTGTAAATTCATTTTTTGTGCATTGACATTGCCGAGCTTCAGCATTTTTCTCAGCATTTCTAAAACGTTACGTGTGTGTTTTTATAACGTGGAACTTAGTAGTTCACTTAGAAGCACGACATTTAGACGTAATATACCGAATCTGATGTGATGATCGAAACGTAACAGTTTTTAGCTATGTTACGAGATTGCCTGTATAATACGATACTTTGGTAGATATTTTAACATTTTACACAGCTATTAGATACTGATATAAATGCTAGAGAGTCAGAGGTGTCTTGGATATGAAATATTAATATATTATACATAGTATACATATATAATATTCTTAACTCGAGAATTTAAGTATCGCCACTACTTGAAAAAATTAATTTCTTGAAAAATTGCTGATTTAAGATATACAACATAAATATGGCAAAGGGTTGATAAAAATGTGTCATTTTTTTAAGTTCTTTGCAAAATATTAACTGTAACTATTAATTATAATAGATTAATAAATTATAAATACAAAATACCAATAGCGACGATGCTTTGGTCGGCGTATATGTCTAAATATAGCTATAAAGTGTGTAGCTCTAGATCTACATTCTTTGAATGAATTTTGTTGATTTAAAGATATTTTACTTTATGTTCACTATCCATCCATTAAAAGCAGCGATACTTTCAATTAAGTTAACTTGATTATTATGTAATTTAAAATAATTCATGTTAATGTTAATATGTGAAGTTGGACGCATAAAAAAAAGAAAAAATATCTCCGCAAACTATTATACTTAATATGCTGCAAATAAATCTTATCATTAACGATACTTTCAACAATCAATTTGCTCACAACTCATAATTATTTTAATTAATATTTGACTTGGATATATTTTTAATTATTTTATTTAGTCAATTGACAGACGATTATTTTTAAAAGAAAAAAAATGCTTGTATTTTTATTTTGTGACCAAAAGAAATTGAACACAATTTTATGTACATACTGGCCAGTTGATTGAATTTTATGTACTAGCCAGTTGCTATTCTCAGCATCTCCAAAGTGGCCTTTTTAGCCTTGCCGTCGGTAACATTATTTACCGGAAGTTTTATTCATTCACATTTTTTAATATTGTACCATTCCGCGTTTGTAGCGATTTTTGTATAATATATAGTGCATTTTATCATTGAATTATATTTATTATAACTTGCGCTTTAAAAATTCTCCGTGCTCAATTAAAGTAATTTGAAACGCTGCAACAGTTTTTTATTTTTATAAATTATTTTAGTTTTTTGTAATAACACTAAATAAAATTTTTATACATATATATATTTGAAGGTAACAACACCGTTATAGTTGAATGCTGTAAAAACATCGTTTGTAAGTTTTTCATGTAGTTTTTTGTTTCACCCTTTATAAATTTAACGTTTATATTTTAATAACAATTTATTATATATTGTAATAAGTAACTGTATGAAATAGGAGATCCTTTATTGTGGGACTAATATTTACATTTTGTACGAAGATTTTAAACATTCAGTCTCCTATATACGTCTTTTTTTCATTGTAAATTGTGATTGATTTTCTCTACAACGAGTTTATGAAATTAATAAATCAGATTATAAATAATAAGTTTTGCGTTTGATTACACAGATTTTATTTCATGTGAATGATGAGAATGAAACAATTTGACCGGGAAAACAATTTCTTTTCGATGATTCTCTTTTATTCTTCCAAAATGGTCGAGGCAAAACGTGATTATCTTTCTCAGCCTTTATTGATGTTGCTGAAATATATTTAAATTAATTAGACCTACGTGGCTAAAATATAGAGTAGAAATAAAGCGTGTTGTATGTACCTGATTTCCAAGGTGGAATAATTTGCGGTTGTGCATCGCCGACAATTGATATTCCGGGGAATGAAAATTTAGGAATGATATTTTGAAACATAGCTCTTGAGACTGATCTTTTGAACGCTGGAGGTAAGTTCAAAGAACCTAGAAAAGTAATTTTATGCATTAGCAGCTCTTTAGACGTGTATTAAAAAATAACATAGAGAATTAAACTTGTTATATCTTCGCTCAAAGATAGTTCAAGTTTCTTTCGAGATTGCTGAAGCTTTTCACTTTTAAATTTCATTAAAAATTTTCGAGAATTTTCAGAAATGCGGTTTTCGTCTAAACTAACTGCAATTAATATCACAAGATCATTATCTAATTACATTTGATTGCTAATAAAATTTATGTGTAATAAATTAAAGTCTAAGTAAATGAACAATTATTTACCTAATGAATAACTATTGGCAATAATATTTTCTCGATATCTACGGATTTTCGTCACTGGATTGCCTTGTAAAAGTAAATGTTCTAATCTTTCTAAAGAAATAACTGTTTCTGTTAAATCCGCAATGTTATTTATTAAATTATCCTTTGCTTCTAGTGTTACTAATTTTTGGAAATTATTGATTTCGTTCAAGGATATTATTTTATTCTTCGAAATATTTAAATGAACCAAGCCATACTGTCAAGTACAAAGAGATATGTAGATTCTGTAACTTTTTATGATTTTCATTATTTAAGGTTGATTGAAAAAATACCTACAGATAATGTTTTTGCACTTCTTGGGTCAAAGCATAAACATTCTCCTGGAGCAAGTCTTTGCTTTTCAACGTGTAAGTCGGTTAAATTTATCAATTTTTCTAATCCTTCAATAACCGCTATATTGTTATATCCTAAGTACAATTTTTTCAGGTTCACGAGACGATCTAATTTTTCTATCTTTGTGATTTCATTATGTTGCAAGTAGAGATGCGTTAAATTCACGGCAAAATCCAAGCTTTTAATTTTTTTGATGAAGTTTTTTTGTAGATATATGACTCTTAAATTGTTACAGACTCCAAATTCATCCTGCACAGAATAAAATTATAAAAAGATGCAATTAAATAATATAACACTGTACTTGATACTACTTACTATTTGGTCGATATATTGTTCATTCATAAACAAATGGGTTAATTTCTTCAAATGATCTTTATCAATTTCTTTTGTTAATGATTTTTGAAGTTGTTGATGCAGACATTTCTTTTCAATCAACGATATATTTAATTTAACCATAATGGAGCTTTTACGCTTATAACCCACTAATAGTTAAGTATAGAAATACATTATGAACATAGTATTTCCATAACGCATTTCCAATCTTTAATGTTTAAACATGTCTGGAATAGCGCATCCAACTTGTCTACATTTAAGTACATACACTTTAACAAATTTTATATGAATTAACCGAAATATATTGAAAAATATGTGCTTGCAACATATATATATATATACGTGCATTCGTAGGTTGCTATGGTAAACGTAACCCTGTTTACAATTTTTCAATCTTTCTCATCAATGTAATTGCAACAAATATTATACATATAAAACTGTTCAAGGTGTTTTTCGAATCATGTGAGTACTGAGTAGTTGTCAATAATTAGAAAACAAATGATTCATCTTATCTTGCAAGTAGGTACTATACTTATTTATTGAGTATACATTGAATTTTTATTATTCGCTTTTTCCATTCCACACAGCAGGAAATTCACTATAGGACGGTGTATGCATCTAACAAGTGCGCGCAAGGTGCACAGCATCTGTGTAAGCGTAAGTATATACGTATGTATGTCAGCAAATGTGTTCACTGACGCTCCATAGCAATATGAGCAAGTAAACAAGTCAAAGAAGTGAGGAAAGTGTAGAATGGTGCTCCAAATTGGTTGAATCCAACAATAAAATTTATGAAATGGATATTTAAAAAAAATTATTTAGTGCCTAGAACATCAAAATTATTTATAGTAAACTATAAAGTGCATACAATACAAGAAGGATTAACCTTTAAAAAACAACCATGTTTGCTTACTTAAGTAAAAAAATTGCAATACCGAACAATATTCGTTTAAATTGTCTTGCTTGGAATGAAAAGCAAGGATACATATCTGTGGGTGGTGAAGATGGGCTTCTTAAAGTTATACGAGCTGAACCCAATGTAACGACAACAGAGGCTGCAACTGGTAGTGGTAAAAATCGCTCTATGACTTCAACAAGTAATTTGAACATGAATCAAACTTTAGAAGGTCACAATGGTCATGTTCAAGTAGTCACCTGGAACGAAGAACATCAAAAATTAACATCAAGTGATCAAAATGGTGTTATTATTGTGTGGATGTTGTACAAAGGTTCATGGTACGAAGAAATGATCAACAATCGTAACAAATCTGTTGTCAAAGGAATGTCTTGGAGCTCCAATGGTCAAAAAATCTGTATAGTTTATGAAGATGGAGCAGTGATTGTTGGATCAGTTGAAGGTAACAGAATATGGGGGAAAGAATTAAAAAGTGTATCTTTGACTGCAGTGCAATGGTCTCCAGATTCAAAACTACTTTTATTTGGGTGTAAGAGTGGGGAAGCTCATTTGTATGATGATCAGGGTGTTTTTCTAAAAAAATTAGACAATATAGGTAGTAGCCATTCACAAGCTGTAGTTGCCATTAGTTGGTACAATGGTCGTAATGGATACACAGCTATCAATTGTCCTATACTTGCTGTATGTTTTCAAAGTGGTAAAATAGTTCTGCTACGAGACACGATGGACGAAAATCCTATAACAATAGATGCAACAATGTCTATTAATTGCTGTTCATGGAATAGCTTTGGGTCAACGTTTGCTATCGCGGGAATATCAATCAGTGAGGAAAGAAAAGATAGTAATGTCGTGTCATTTTACTCTCCCTTTGGAGAACTTTTAAGAGTATTGAAAGTGCCTGGAAAAGAACTAAGTTGTTGTTCATGGGAAGGAGGCTCTCTGAGAATCTGTCTTTCGGTGGACTCCAACATCTATTTTGCCAACATTCGTCCACATTACAAGTGGGCCTATTTCGGCAACACAGTTATCTTTACCGATGAGAAGGTTAGCAGAGACGGTGTTTGCGTTACGTTCTGGAACACCACAACGAATGCCCGCTACTCGAAGTACGTAAGGTACGTCATAGCAATCGGAGCTTGCGGTGAGCACTGCGTCATCGCTGCGCAAAACGATTCGGATCAAGCAGACGAACGCTACGTGCTCTACGTATGCAATGCGATATCAACGCCAGTGGACACGAAATTTTTAGATTTCGAACCACACCAAGTGGCAATGAACAACAGCATAGTGGTTGTCGCATCAAAGAGTAATTTCCTGCTGTGGACTTTCCGATCACCGAGAAGTTCCGGCCTCAACGTTGCCAGATCACGCCGCGATAGATTCTACCACGTAGACGACACGCCGAGTGGAGTGACTGAAACTATGCAAGACCTGGACCAACGTGACAAAATCGCCGATCGTCCAGTTGCCAGGAAAGAGAGCAGCGATCCTATCCGCAGCCTCAGCATTACCGACAAATTACTACTCGTAGGTCGAGATTCCGGCATGATCCAACAGTATTCGCTTCCTCAAGTGACGCTAACGAAGCGCCACTCAACGGGACGTCGTCCCTGTCAGATCTTCATCAACTGCGACTCGACGATGGCTGCGATTATAGACGCGCACTCAGTGATGCGATTGCAGGAGCTCGGCTCGGCCGGCGCCGCAACAAAGTCATCCGATGCCTCTTTCGTCGTCGCCGGGTCAAGATCTAGGGACGAAGACGTTAATCGATTTGAGCGAAAGGACGCATGGGCGGTGTGCTGGGCTCAGGACAACCCGCGCCTGGTCGCCGTCGTCGAGAAGAGTCGCATATACATCTTCAGGGGTCTGGAACCAGAAGAGCCCATCAGCTGCTCCGGCTACGTGTGCTGCTTCCGCGACCTCGAGATCCGTTGCGTGCTGCTGGACGAGCTGGTGCAGAAGCTCCAGGAAGCTCGCAGTGAGCTCGTGGTCGAGCTCCAAGTCAAGTCGCTGAGAGACACGCGAGAGCTGCTCAAGAGCGTCGGCCTGCGCGAAGCCGAGGAATTCGTGCGCGACAATCCGCACCCACGCCTCTGGCGACTGCTGGCCGAGCACGCGCTGCGCCAACTCGAGCTCGACGCGGCGGAGAGCGCCATGGTGCGCTGCGCCGACTATCTGGGTATCCGGTTCATCAAGCGGCTGCGCGGCGTGCGGGAGCCAGGCTTGCAACGTGCCGAGGTGCTCGCCTTCCTCGGCGACCACGAGGCAGCCGAGCAGGCTTACCTGGACCTCGAGCGCCGCGAGCTCGCGGTCGAGCTGAGTCAGCGACTCGCCAATTATCCGCGGGCCTTGCAGCTGATGCGCCTCGGCAGTGGCGATGCTTCGGCCGCAACGTCCGACGCGCAGCTAGAGACAGCCCGACTGCGCTTGGGCGGCCAGTTGGCGGCTCGACAGCAGTGGGCAGCGGCTCGCGAGCACCTCGCGCTGGCGACGAGCGGCGCGGACCTGGAGCGTCTACTCGAGTGCCATTACCGGCTGGAGGAATACGAGGAGCTGGCAGCCCTGGCTACTCGACTGCGAGACGGGTCGCCGGAGTTGCTGAGAGCCGCGCGTATGCTGGCCTCGGTCGGCATGTGCCAGCCGGCTGTCCAGTGCCTGGTGCGCTGCTCGGAGGTTCGCCAGGCGGTGGAGGTGTGCGTGCGCTCGAACCGCTGGGACCAGGCACTCGAGCTCGCGCGTAACTGGCGGCTGCCCGGGATCGCCGAGCTCCTCGGCAAATACGCGCGGCATCTGCTAGCCAGTGGTCGGCGACTCCAGGCCGTGGAGCTTTACCGCAAAGCCGAGAGGCCGCTGGAGGCGGCCGAGCTGCTGCTCGAGTTAGCCGAGGAGCAGGCGAGTCAGGGGGCACCACCCCTGCGACTGAAGAAGCTGTTCGTGCTGGCGGCTCTGCTGGCGCAGGAAGCTGCGGAGGCTGGGCAGCGACTCGGAAGCTCGGACCACTCCAACTTGCTGGAGCGCGCGTGGCGCGGGGCCGAGGCCTATCATTTGCTATTGCTGGCCCATCGACAACTTTACGCCCAGAATTACGAAGCGGCGATGCGCACGGCTTTGAGGCTGCGAGAGTACGAGCCGCTTCTCGAACCGCGGCCTCTCTACGCTCTGTTGGCGCTTGCGAGTTGCGGCTCGAAGGTGCTGGTCACCTGCTCGCGGGCACTGGTGCGCCTGGAGGCCGTCGATCCACGTTACGAGGAGCTCGCGCTTGAGATCTTTGCCAGGTACCCAGTTCGTGACTCTCAACCGCCGCCGCGACAAGAGTGCACCTACTGCGAAAGCCTCGTGCCCGAACATTGCATCGTCTGTCCTAATTGCTCCACTCCGTTTACGGCTTGTATTGTCACTGGACGACCACTCATGAATCCAACCACTGCCTGGTTATGCACTGTGTGTAAACATTATGCCGCGTCGGAACGTGATGTACTTAATGTCAATGGATGTCCGCTTTGTCATAGTATTATTACTTACATGTAAATCTAGTTGGTCAAATTTATTATATTTTTATTTATTTGTTATGCGTGTAAGTAGATCTTGGGTAGTCTTTTAAAACTTTCACTCTTGTACCGAAATGCATTTACTGTCAACGATTCCGTCCTTGTCGGGGTGTATAATTCTTGATTCATAAAATGTTAAATTTGTGAGCTCCTTTATCTTGTATGACATATCTTTTTGTTGTGAATAAATTAGTATGTTCAATAAATTTAGTGTGTCTGCGAAACTTTTTTACCTTAGATAGTTTGCCCTGGCTCGTCCTTCAATAACATACTCGATCATTAATATCTCTTATTAAAACTCTTGACAAACAATAGTATATGTACATAACATGTTTAAAGTAAAGTAGCACAATAAATTATGAAAAAGGTTAAATACGCATCATTACCCATTGAACGAATTTGAAATTTCAGACTTTGTTGAAAATGTTTGAATAATGATTTAATATTCTTGACCTGAAACCATTATACCCTTTCTTTCTTTCTTGTAACTTAAGGATAAATTAAATTTATTGTTTCGCGTCTTTGGAAACGTTTTTAGATCACACGTAAGGCATGAAAGTTACTGCGACGCAAGAACTACCAATTAAGGGCAGTTGCGTAAGATATTGGACTGGCAATAAATGATAAATTGATAGATCGACCTTTGCAACGAAGCATATTTACATAAAAAATAAAATCGATATTATACATGTATTTACGTTACGTAAATGTATAAGACTTTTTTTTTTAAATTGAGCTTTCGGAGTGGCTTGAGTTTTCTAGCTCATTGTACTTCGTGCGAGGCCCAAAAATGCCGTTAAACCTTCAAATCTACCCACATATTTGAATTTTCGAGCTCACAAAACAATTCTACCGTTTTAGTAACTTAAAATAAAAGTTTTATGTGACTGTTAAATTTTTTTGGAGAAGTTCGAAAAGCTCGAAAAATTTGAGCTAAAAGGCTCAAGTTGCTTCGATGTTCCGAACCCTGAAGTGCTTAATTTTTTTAAGTGCGGTTTTTTTCCGAAATCTTAAAATCGAATTAGATCAAATTAGATCAAATTAGAGTTAACTCGAATTAAATCAAATATCATGAGCTACATTAAAAAGATGATGTATCATGAAAAAGGTTCATACAATTATCTTAAATCAATTTTTAAGACACCTAAATTTAAAGAAAAAATGGACTTTCTATAGTTAAAGTCTCTCCATCTCCATCCAAGCAGATTTACCCACTCCAATAAAAATAAATAATATTTCATCAGACTTATATGAAATATATTCTTTTGTTCAAATAATTAGTTATAATAATCAATGGAGATTAAAAAGTTTTGTTAGTACATTATGCTTTATTCAGAACAAAAATCTATTTTGTCGAAAAAGATTTTTTTACATCTACATATAATATGTATTTCTAATGACATTTATATTTTCGTGAGTCATTTGTTTTCATTAGAGCACTTTTTAATCCACTTTGCTACACACACGCATGTCACAGAAGCAATCGAACCGCCACAACCACAAAGTTACAACTGCTAAGTCCGGCGAGAGTCAGTAACCTGCATTTTAAAAACTTAATATATTGACCAAACGTAGAAATTGTTTCACCAAAAATGACGATGGACGTAGATTTATTAAGACCAGGAACAGTACCAATAGCACCTGATACTGTTTTATGGTTTGAATTCTTATTGAATCCTTCATTATTACAATCTCATATTTCAAAACCATCCCCAGGTACGTTGTTCATAACCTCTACAGTATTTCTATTCTTAAGCGAAACCTTTTATTTTTTTAAGTCGCTCAAAATGTATAAATAATATTAGTAAGTTAAACAGTGTTATTTCAATGTAAATTTATATTTAATTAATTAATTGATATAATTCTAAAAATAATTTTCAGATCCATCACCAACAGATCTTATGATCAAATTTATGACTATTAATGCAGACCAAAACAATGAAGTAAAAATTATAGAAAATCAAAATGATGCAAATGAAGCAAAAATTAATTCAGTCAATAAGTGGAACTATAAAAATCTGGCTTTAAAAATTTTATCGCTAAAATTAGCAGCTTATTTAAAATGGGATCTAGAACTTTTGCAAAAAAAATTACCACTACAAATGCAACTAACGTTATGGCAGGATCTATTTTATATAACAATGGATAAAATTGTAGAAATACCAAATGTGCCTGAAATACATCCGAGTAATGCATCGGATAGAGTTTTATTTACTTTAGTAATGTACCATAGATGGTTGTTACGTGCAATTGTGTTTAGAGCATTGAACAATAAACAACAAAAGTCATTAGTTCTTATTAACAAGTAAGCATGTTTGTCTTTTGCATTATAACTAATATATCAATATAAGTTCAAATATAACTGAATCTTTACAATATAATTTTTGTTAAATTATAGTCAAATAATGCAAGAAAACAATTTTTGGTCACTACCAATGATTGATGAAATTATTAGAAAATTAGAATCTCAAGCAGGAAATAGTATTAATTTCCTGAATGGTGTTCTTCAATTAAATGACATCAAGCCTAAAGTACTCTCGTTTGATACATTTGAAATGTTAACAGAAAACAGTACTGAGATAAAACAAGATTGGAAGAATGTGTATACAATAACAGAGGATGAATTGAAGTGTCAGGTAGTTATTTTAATTCAAATATTAAATTAAAAATCTTAAATAATTTTCATAAATTTCATGATTTTTAGATACATTACGATCTTGGAGTATTTCATATTCTCAGAGGAGAATATCAAATTGCAAAACAAAACATTATTCAGGCCAGAGATCTGTTTATAAAATTAAATACTTCATTACCAATGGTTTACTGTAATGTGAAAAAGGATAGATTAGATGGTTATTGTGCTGCTTGTGAAATACCTATAGAAGGCGAAAATCCTAATTTAACACAGCAGTTGCTGACTTCTATTAGAGATCAATATACTGTAAATGAATTTTAATTTTAAATGACAATATAAAATAATTAAAAAATGATCATTTTTATACAATAATAATTTATTTTCTTAGAATATTTTACCAGTTTTACAAGCAGATAATATACAAAGAGAAATACCACAAGTTTACAGGGACAATTTGGAGTTAGATATTCAAGGTGGATTAGTTAATAGAAAAATAGTTGTCAATCGAGATCTTTTATTGCAAGTTCAATGCCTTAATTTGGTACGTAGAATAGTTGAAAGTGAAACAATTATCGGTGACTATACTACCGAAATTGAAGCAGCAGGAACAAAAGGATTAGAATTTCTTTTTGGGGTAATTGGTCATCAAATATCAATACTTATATATCTATAAACTTATGTTACACTAACTTTATTTATTTATTTTTTCAGGCACTGGATGATGTTCTGAAAAAGGCATCATCAGTTGATAAACAAAGGATAGCCCGTTATCTTTTATACCTTACCTTAGTAGGAGAAATTGATGGTGTAGCAAATAAAATTTTAAATGATGAGAAATATTCAATTTTGTTTAATGTAGATGAATTACAAGAAATCAAAAAAGCAATATCTCCTGAAGATTTGGATATTCCAAATTTACTATTAAATGATGATTGGGGCATTGTTCCAATGATATACACTCGTAAGAAACATTATTTCCTCTATAATATTATTATTATTCTTTCTACAATAAAATCATAAATTTTAAATTTCAAATGAATATCTGTTTACAGAAAAACAAAAGATAGATATATTTGAACTGGAACAACGTCTTATCCATTCGTATGACCCCTTTGAAATCCAAAAGATACTCGTCGAAATAACGCGATTAAGTAATTCAAATTATACAAAACCATTATGGCCAATAAACCATTCATGGGAAATACCTATTCCTTTACAAAGTGTAGTTGCTTCTTTGCCAGAAGGTTTCTTGCAAGATTATTCTTACATATTATTGTCAAAAAGCAAAGAACTTGTACTATCTAAAGATTTTCCCAGTGCAAAAATTTTATTGAGTATAGTTGAACATGAAGTGCAGCATCAGGCGCAAAACTTATCTGCAAGACCTCTGCTTGGAGGAATGAATTTGCTCGATAAATTTTTAAAACTACTTAGTTGGGAGGCATTATTAACTGATATATGTCACTGCTTACATGCTTGGCCTGCTAATAATATTTGTAAGTTTTTTTTAAATAATTATAACCCATTTTATGCAACTAAATTTTTATTGATTTGCAATGCATACAGGTGATACTCAAACATTGGTGGTTCAGAGCAAACAATGTTTGGCTACACTTCAATCAACAACTGATCAAGTAATACCAAGACAAGAAATCATCGAATATTGTACAGTATTTTTGTTAAATATGGCTGAGTGGGATTATTTGGCAAACTTGGAAAAACAATGGAGTTGTTTTGAATTTGCTGCTGCACTAAGCAATATAGCAAAATATAAAGGACAAAAGTTCCCAAAAGAAGCTTGGGATATGGTGTTAGCTGCTTCTAAACCAAATCGCGATATGCCGCAAAAGCGCAGTAACAGTAATAGCGGATCCGGTAATAATTCAACAAGGGATTTTTCAATAAATGTTTCTTCTACATTTAGTCGCCTTAGAGAAATCAACGTTCTAAATATATCGATTTCCCTTCTTGCTCGTCTTCATAACGTTTTGAGAGACGAAGCAAGTTTAGAACTTTATACTTCTTATTTGAATATGTGGCCTGCTACTGTACCAAAGTAAGTTTTTGATCGGAAAATAATTAAAAAATCACTATTTATTTTTTTGAAATGTTATATATTGTTACAGTGCAAAACAGTACAATATACGTATTGTAGGAGAATATCTATTTCAATTATTGTCTCAAGCTTTGAAGTATTATCCAAATAATGTTCCTTGGTTACGATTAATGGGAGATCTTAATTTTGGTAAGTTTTTTGTTTTAAAGAATATTATTATTGAAAGGAGGTATACATTGGAGACAATCAATTTAATATCTAAATGTACTTATTTTAGTGCTACAATATTATGAAAGTGCCATGAAATATTATTTAGAAGCAATCATAGTAGCTACAGATCTTTTTACCACTCCTGTACGAGGTCTGATAGATGATTTAGTCTACAGAAGAATGATCAAATGCTGTGCTCACTTGCAGTGTAATACTCAGGCTGTAGTATTGTGCCAATTTTTAGACGAAGTAGATTATGCGTTAGCTTTCAAAATGGCAGGAACAGAACAAAAAAATGCTGTTCCAAATGATGCTATGGATGCGTATTACCATTGTATTTGGGATACAACAATATTGGAATACTTGATAAACTTACACACAAAACGCGGAGAACATCATCGGAAACAACTTGCGGTGAGATATTCTCTTTATTTCACATTATTGCGATGATTCTAACTTTGAAAATTATTACAGATTAAAGTTATTGGACTTCTGGAATTAAATTCTAACAATAATGAAGAAATTCAAAGGGAAGCAGCGAATACTCGAAAAGCAAAATTCCTTCGAGCTCTTGCAAAGCAGTATGTTTACTAGAATTTTATACAATAGTTTTGATATTACGTTTTTGTAAATATTGTTTTCCTGACTAATTTATGAGGTATAATCAAGAGTATGCTACCCCCTCAATGTAAATATATATATATATATATATAATCATACTACTATTATACGTTGAAAATTTACATGATTAAGTAAAGAATTGATGTAAATATGTAATTTGTCATTTTTTATTTTCCAATTCAAATGTATAATACTCCAATAAATGAAACACTTCTAAATTGCAAGTTTACACAAATAGAAACTATTAGAATAACTAAAATAAGATGCATTTGTGTCGTTCAAATTAATCATCATTTTTTAAAGAGTTCGCGCTTTAGTTGGTGTAGATGGTGTTAAATTATACAAAATGGAAGCACACATCTGAAGGAGATTTTTCGATTATAAAAGCTCGCTCGCGCGCACACTCACACATTGATAAATCTAGCGCTGCTGCTGATGAATAGATAAGCTACTCCTACTATATGTGAAGATTGTGAAGTTGGCATAGCGCTTGTATACGTGTGCATGCTCTGCATCTGTGTGTAGCGGACGGACCGCGGCGTTGAATGAGAGATTCGAGAGGCTCATGAACTTTTCGTTTGATATTCGTTGTCTCGTAGCAACTAAATTACGCAGAAGTGAGTACGAAGAAATTAATTAATCTTGATAGTGTAATATATTCGACGGTTGAATATGATATCGAGTATGGAACGTGAGAAAACGACGCTTATCACTTTATGTCGCACAATGGGCGCATGTACGATTGCTCGCGCTGACATCGAATTGCAATGTCAATTGTAGGCATTGCGTCTCAATAATCAGTTTACTGCCAAAATATTCCCGAGTGCAACCCATTGTTGTTACAATGAATATTTATTTTGTACCGTGCAGTTTGTCTCTGTTTTGACGTTACTCCGAATGTGAAAATGAAAACCTAACCTTCTAATAACGCAACATCCGTATTTTCGTTTTCTAGATCTTTGCACGCTACCTGCAGTGGTACGTGCGCAACTCTATACAGCTTTTGACTTTTTTCGCAGTGTTGCGAAATTAGGACAAATTGCGTCTACTTCATGTTTTCAATCTGACAAATTGATTCTAATTATTTGAAGTCTTTTTTTTTTACGTTTCTTTTTCAGATGTCTAGTGCACCAGCACATAAGTATCGTTACAAAAATGTTGGGTTGGACTCCCAAGAGCTTAGGAGACGTAGAGAAGAAGAAGGGGTACAGTTGAGGAAGCAGAAAAGAGAACAACAATTATCAAAGAGACGAAATGTTCCTAATGTGGTTACTGATGATGATGGAATTTCCATCACTGAAGATTATACTGTTCCAGCGCCTGTTATGGTAATTGTCTTGGAGCTGATAGATTTCCATAATTTTTTAATATTCATTATAATCTATCCAATTTTTATCAATTGCATAGCAACCAGCTCAAGGCATAACTCCAGATATGTTAACAGCTTTGTACAGTTCAGACATATGTGAACAATTGGCAGCTACACAGAAATTTAGGAAACTTTTATCTAGAGAACCAAATCCGCCCATTGATGAAGTTATACATACAGGAATTGTACCAAGATTTGTAGAATTTTTGAAGAATGACACAAACTGCACTTTACAGGTTTGTTAAAATTGATAGAATGTATGTCTGATTATAAAATCCAAAGTGCTAATATGTTGCAATGTACAGTTTGAAGCAGCTTGGGCATTAACAAATATTGCCAGTGGAACGTCTCAGCAAACTCGTATGGTAGTTGATGCTGGTGCAGTACCTGTGTTTATCGCATTATTAAGCTCAGAGTATGAAGATGTTCAAGAACAAGCAGTTTGGGCTTTGGGTAATATTGCAGGTGACAGTCCAGAGTGCAGGGATCATGTTTTGGTCAGTGGCATATTACCTCCCCTACTCCAGTAAGTTTAATATATATTCAAGTAAGTGCAATAAATCAATTGTTATTTTAACATTACTTTTTGGTACTAGATTGCTTTCAAAACCAACGCGTTTAACAATGACGCGGAACGCTGTTTGGGCTTTGTCAAACTTATGTAGAGGAAAGAACCCTGCACCTGATTTCCAAAAAGTTGCACCGTGTTTGCCAATTCTTTCATATTTGTTAACCCATCATGATCCAGATGTATTAGCCGATGCGTGTTGGGCTCTTTCTTATTTAAGCGATGGGCCAAATGAAAAAATCCAAGCTGTTATAGATTCGGGAGTGTGCCGACGTCTTGTTGAACTTTTAATGTAAGTTTTTAAAAAATTGAAAATACTTTTTCATTGTATTTATTTTATCATACTTATCCATTCAATAGGCACGACAAGCATAATGTCACAAGTGCAGCATTGAGAGCTGTGGGTAACATTGTGACTGGTGATGATCTACAAACTCAAGTTGTTTTGAATTGTTCTGCATTACCTTGCCTACTTCATCTGTTTAGCAATCATGAAAAGAGTGTTCGTAAAGAAGCTTGTTGGACAATTTCTAACATTACTGCTGGAAATCCTCAACAAATTCAGGTTTGCTGATTTTGTAAATTATTTATTACCTCTAAATTATTTTACTAATTTATAAGACGTAAATTTGATTAATATTTCTTCAATGGATTTTTAGGCTGTCATAGATGCAAAGATTTTCCCTATTTTGATAGATATTTTAGGAAAGGCCGATTTCAAAACGCGCAAAGAAGCTGCTTGGGCGATTACCAACGCTACAAGTGGAGGAACGCCGGAACAAATTCGATATTTAGCAGAGCAAAATTGTATCCCCCCATTGTGTGAACTACTAACAGTAATGGATGTTAAGATCATTCAAGTAGCGTTAAATGGTTTGGAAAATATACTGCGACTTGGTGATCAAGACGCAGTTCATCATAATGGTGTCAATCCATACAGCGTTCTCATTGAACAATGTTTCGGTTAGTGATGCTTATAATTTACATCCACTGTAAAATTATTAAGATTGGAACTATTATAGTAGTTTATATGTTTTATATTATTTCATTCCGAAAAAGTCATAATTGAACTGCAGAACATTATTTTATTCTGTCATTACAAATATTATTTTACGTTTTAGGCCTAGATAAAATTGAATTCTTGCAATCTCATCAAAATATAGAAATTTACCAAAAAGCCTTCGATATTATTGAGCGCTACTTCGGTTCCGAAGAGGAAGACTCAAGAATTGCACCATCAGTGGATTCTCAGGGACAACAATTTCAATTTTCAACAGCCGACTCTTCTCAATTACCAGTTCAAAGCTTCCAATTTTAATTGAATGATCGAATTAAAAACAGCTATAAAGTGTGTCGAGGCATGCGTTAATTTTATTCATCGAATGAGCTACTGTCCATTTTAGGGAAAGATCTATCTCTAAAATAGAAATGAAACACGTAAGGAAATAGCTATTTAATTATTTTGTTTTTTAACTCTGGTTCGTATCTTTTTCGTATTGAAAGTTCTCAATTCGTTATATTTGGCGCTTCTAGAAACGAAACTGTAAAACTATCGTTATTAGAGCAGGTTATACTGTGAACACTTATAGTTTAAAAAAATGAGTTGAATAGCAACACTTGATTAATGAAGCTTTTAAAATATCGATTTTATCATAAATTATACATGTCGCATAAGTGAGCTCATAATTGCTGTGTAACTTACAGCTATAACAAGTTAAGTTCAATTTGAATGAAAAAAAAAAAAAATTATTAAAAAAATGACAAAATACGAAAAAAGTTAGGACTTAAGTAAGAATCTGAAAAAGTACTAAATCGATCGTCAATAATAATCGATAGTTAACTCGAGACACGGACATTACCTCGTTCGACGTCGACTGACCTGTTAAAACTAAAGAAAAAAGAAAACAGACTTGCATGCTACTTGCAAGACGATTAATGCGACTGAAGTACGCGACACTGTAGCCGAAACGAGACAACACTACGCAACTCGCTACTCCTCTCTTTACTACGCTAAGTAGGTACATGACCAATTAAACTTTTTTACTGTAAATACGTATCTAGTAATTTTGCAGGCCATTCTATACAGGGTGCCCTCGAGTCGATGGCGTGATATAAAAAAGAATGATATACGTTTTATACATATATGTAAAAGAAAAAAAATCGGAAGATTTTTAGAGTAAATTCGAAATTCGATTCGACGTCCGGAAACGCGTTTTAAACAGTCAGAGCAATGTTTTTTATATAGATTTTGAATTAATCGCTAAACTTTAAAATACGACAAAAAATGCGGCTATAACTAATAAAATCGAGAATTTTATTTGTTTTGTTTTTTAATTTTTATAATTTATATAAAGAAATTATGAATAATCAATAAAGAAACAGTCTCTTTATTGTAGAAAAAGCTTTATAATATAAGAATTATTTTATTTTTATACTTGGTTCACGTACTCAATGTATAAGTAAACTAAATAATTACCGAAATTTTCAATCGCTGTAGATATATTGAGGAAGGACTGTACAGCAACCAAAATTTCGGACATTCTGTATAAAAGGTCTGTGACTGTATAAAATGTATTTATTATTTAGGTTCGACGATACAATACTATGTAATACAAATACTATATATGCTACATACTTTTAGTTACCGACATGTGATTTCATGACACAAGAGATACACTACAATGAAAATCACTCGTTGAATATTATCTAGCGGAATACATTTTTCTTTCTAGAATTCAGAGTATCAACGAGTTTCTCATTGTCAATTTCCGATGTTTCCGCTGCAGATACAGCAGCATGCTCAACACTATTTAGAATCGTGCATCATTTTACACATCATTGAAATCCCTAAACAGTGATTTACTATTATATTTTAATGCTTACCTAGAACAGGATAAACACATCAAGAAAGTGACAATGAGTAGAAATTTTGTGATTTTGAGACGATGTCAGTAAATACTACAAGGACTGCCGACTGCTACGCTACAACGTGAAAGCGATGTTTAAAAACGAAGCATCGATTCATCTCATTTATCATTAAATTCTTATTAAGTTGAACTAATGTACTATTTCAGCAATAGAATATATATTGTGTATAATAATGCCAATAGTTTTATTAGCATCTTTTTACTTTTCTTTAAAACAAATTGTGCAAACTATATTAGTCAGCTTTTAAAAAATTACAAACTTCTCAATTGTGTAGTTTTCGATCTTTATTGCAAATTTAGAAGAAGAATTATTTTTTTTTACTAGTTATTTTCAGTTTTTTCCGCTTGTCATTAAAATTGTTTTTTTTTTTGTTTTTTTGAAAGTACATTAACGTTGTAAACGGTCAGTCAATTTTTATAATTTTTTTTCCTTGTGTGTACTATTAGTTTTTTAGAAAATAAAACTTATCAAAAAGTATATAAACCTTTGATAATTACTTTTATCTGACAAGGTAGATTTCTTTTATTTCAACGTATGTACATTATAATAAAGGTAATAAAATGAAACAAACAATTAGAAAGGTTGCATTTTATCTGTTTAGTTTTCAATAAAAGGTAGTTTTAAACGGGTACATTTTTATATAAAAAATGTTCACATTTCATTCAGTACAAAATGTCAATAAATAAAACATTACATATTGTTTAAGGACATACAATGAGTATTATTTATCTCAAGACTGCCTTTACCTTCTGTATTGCAATGAAATAGTAACATCAATTTTGTTAATTTAATGTTAAGAATATGTGACGGAAAAAGTCACGGGTAAACAAGATTTGATTACTGTTTCTTGTATTAATTTCCATTATAAAAAAATTTTATTATATATTGTTATATTTGTAGGTAAATTGAAGATCCATAAATTAATACTCTTTTAGTCAGACATTCACAATATTTTTGTTCAATTAAAAAAATAGTCTACTCTATTTTGTTTACATAATGTGTCAAAACTTCCATCAATATAGCTAAATATATAACAATTTCAAAAATACATAAGCATTATAAAAATACTCATTATTATACAAAAACGACTTACACTAAACATTTAACGTTATTTTCAAACTGTGGGCAATTGACAATCTATTAAATCTGGTTCAGGTTTTACTGACACAATAAGACCATCTGTGATCCTTGTGATCAAAGGCTGAATAAGATCTTTCTCCAGTTTGCCAGATAATTTTTTAGTAAGTTTCTTCTCAACATATTCAAGAGGTTTAATTGTTTTATCATAATCATCTGCAATAATAGTTATTATATAAATTACTTCTTCAATTAGGGGATTGATTCTATCACATAAATTGTGAAATGCTTTTAAAGCTTCTTCATTTATATTTAATAAGTCCCATATAATCTGAAATAAAAAGGAAAATGTAAAGTGCTAATAATAGTAATATAGTATAGTTGATAATAATATGCTGTACTAACCACAGTCTTTTTATCTTTGATACGTGAACGCAATGATGTTATGACAGATCCCACATCGTTTTCAAATTTTTCAGGAGTAAGTTGTAATAAACCACTGTTCAAAGCATTGCTACTAACTTTACCTAATAGTTTTGCCAAACAATTTAAAGGGTCTGATTTATCTCCAAGTAATATCATTATAAATGGCTTTTTAGGATGATTAATAATGTTCCTTATTCCAATAAAGAGATTTCCCCACAAATCCTTATCTTGATTATTATACTTATCTTTAATAGATTTTAACATTCTTTTTACATTATCTGTTGTACACTGCACATCTTCTTTTTGACATTTAAGAACATTAAAGTCTTCATCAGTTTCATAGTTATATTTATTGTACTGTAAACATATCAAAAATCCAATAAGTATTAAAACAAAGATCAACAAAAGACTTCCACTATTCCTCCAACATGATGAAGTGTATGTATTATTATTAACTGTTGTATTTTTAGATATTTTTTGATTTACTTGTTTTAAATTATTTTTTTTAGATTCAAGCTTAATATTTTGTAAATGATGATGTGATGATGAAGAACCTAAATTAAATGTTTTATTATCATTGGGAGTATTTCTTTGTTGTGGATATCTGAATCTAGTGTGAGTTTCATATTCTCCACTACTTGACTCTCTTCTGTATTGTATATCATTGAAGACCTCTTCCACATATGATAAATCACTCAATTCATTTTTACTACTTTCGTCTTCATTTATATCTTTTTGTTGTAATTTTTCTAAAGGTCTTGAAAGTTTTATAGTTTCATTATTTTTAATGTATTTAATTTCATCAAATTGCTTATTATCACGAATGGACATACGTTTACTTGGACGTGGCTGTAGTAAATGGAAATATGAATTATTTAAAAACATTGATTTAAAAAGCAGACAAAATAAAATGTCTGTAATCTTAGAAAATTTTTCTATTAGTTTTACTTACTTTACTCATATTTTCTGAAAATTATTCCACTATTAATTAACTTTATGATTCTATTTACGTTGTTTAGTTTCTTAACATTGTAAAAATTAAAAATAACCAACATATGATTTTGCAGTTTTAATACTAAACAAGTCAATTCAAGGCTGGGCTGAATCCCTGATGAATCTCCGCGATTCGCGTGGCGGGGGGCTTGGAAATGCGATTTCAGAGCTTAGGTTTGTGGTCGATGGCCGCTCAGTAGCTAAGGTCTATTTAATTTACCGCGCTCAGGTCAAATCTTTCTCGGAAACTCCGGTTCAAATCCCAATGAATGAAATTTTTTTACTCTGTGTTTTAATTATTTATAAGCGTACATATTATAAATGAATTTTTGATACTTTTAATATTTTCCAAATGAGATTATACTATGAAAATAAAAATATGAGGTAAAAGTGTCAATGTTAATTAAACTGTGGTTTATATATACTAACTAATATTTACTATAACTAATAACATTTATTACAATATTAATTTGTAAATGTCTACACAAATATTTATTTGTTTATATATTACGCTATCGTACTTTTTAATCTATAAATAAATAAAATGTAATAAGTAATCTACATCTGAGCATCAACTGCGATGACTAATGGAATCGAGTCAGAAATCGCGCACCTATTGTTCGAAACTTAATGTTTTATTAACTTATCTATTGAACTATTTAGAGACTATAAGTTTAATTTGCCATTTATTTCTATTTGTATGCATGTACTTTCTTACGGTCTTTATGTCGTATTATTATTGAGTTGTATTTGTCATATCACATACATTATTTATAAGTTTTGTCGTTTCGAAGTATTTTCAAATTCACTTGTAAGGTACAAAGTGCCTCGGCGTATTTATCAAGAAGTATTTTTATGTTACTATTTCTAGAAAGGTCTACAGTTTTACAGCCCTTATCTGCCTTTTTCTAACATTTAAAGCGACATTACAATTAGCATAGTATTAGTTTGTATGCTAGGCGATGGACTGCTCAATCGAACGACGGGGATCGTGCGACCTTTCAAGAATTTTCCGATTGGTACTTGTTACTTAAATTCTCTTTAGCTGGGCTAAGGATCATTATTGAGCGAGTCGAGTCAGTCGATCTAGACTAGAGGTCAAGTTTGTACGCTCGCATTGTACATGTTACTTACTAGAATAAACCTAAATTGATTTACTTCAGTTCACTTACTTTGTTGGAACTATTATTATCAATAATCACACTTCGTGTTAAATTAGTTTTTACCCGAAGAGCACGAGATTAGCAATTGTACAAATGCCATATTTGCAAACTTGCAGGATAGCATAAACGCTTTGTTTTCGTCCTTCGATTGTTTTTTAATAAAATCGGTTTTTTATTCCATTTCCGGCTTTTCCCTATCAATGTGAGTTTTGATTCATTGCAACATCCCTTTATCCTTAACATAAGATTAATTAATTAAAACGTTTTTAACAATTAATTATAAATAGTAACAGCTTTATAACATATTTAATAACAATAACAGTGCAAGATAAATAATAAGACGTAACAATTAAATTCAAACTTAACGTAAATAAAACATAAAATAAATACGTCGATGTCACCTTAAGTATGATAGCCTAACATGTCTTTTTACTCGCATATAGTCGCCGGACTGATGTTTAAACAAATGTCTAATATTAATTAATGTAACTTCGAATAATCTATTTTATATTCATCAATTTGGAGGATAAACATCAAAACTAATTTACGAGCGCTATAGACGCTCAGATGTAGATTACTCATTACATTTTATTTATGTCTAGATTAAAAAGTACAATAGCTTAATGTATAAATAAATAAATATTTCCGTAGACCTTTACAAATTAATATTGTAATAAATATTATTAGTTATAGTAAATATTAGTATATATAAACAACAGATTAATTATTTGACATTAATACTTTTATCTCATATTTTTATTTTAATAGTACGATCTCATTTGGAAAATATTATAAAGTATCAAAAATTCATTTATGATATGCTTATAAATAAATAAAACAAAAAGTAAAAAAATTTTATTTATTGGGATTTGAACCAGAGTTTCCGAGAAAGATTTGGCCTGGGGGCCTATTCTGAAAAAAAATTTTAGTACGGGGCCTATTCTGAAAAAAAATTTTAGCACATGTCATAAGCATTTATCACATCTAAAGTGATTAATTCTGTGGTAAACTGAAGTGACAAACTGATTTACCACAAAATTTTTTTTCAGAATAGGCCCCCTGAGCGCGGTGAACAGACCTTAGCTATTGAGCGGCCACGAACGCTTCTTAAATCATCTCCAGGCTGCTAAATCTTAATCATCAGCCCAGCAGTCCAGCACTACATTTGATATGCAATTTGATTTATATAGGGACTTTTAAAATAGAAATATTCAATGTTGGTCCTATGAAATTTCTAAAGTCGAAATATTTAGGTTACGCATTGTATTTTATACTTTACGTAGTATTTATCTTGATTTTAAAAAATTAATATAATACCGCAAAGTTCTACATACAAATTAAAATTTAATATTTTTATTTATCATCACTAATGTTACCAACAAACGTTATTGTCAATCAAGAGACTTCAAAATCCCGAGACATTTCAGACAGTAAAGGTTAAAGTACTACGAATGCGAATGCTAGAGGGGTCTGGAGTCTGGATACTTTGGACAACGACTGTCATTATCAAGACAACATGCATATTTTAAACATTCTTGAAGATTTTAGATTATTATAAAAAATAGGAAGGTGAAAAAGTTATAAACGACGAATTTAGTTGTGATAATTTTGCAAGCTACATGATATCAACAAAATGTGCTTCGGTCCATTTAAACGAATTTGCAATTGGGGACCGCTTACTGCTCTCGGTATGTCAGACAAAAACTAAAAAGCATTTATTAATTTTTATTGCATATATCCTATTTTATAACGTTTAAAATGATTTCATGTAATGGAAATTATATGTAGCAGTAATATCTGCAAGAACGTTCTATCGATATAAAAGTATAGGAAATAATTTATTTACCATGTATAATGGTAAACATTGCTCTAGCAGTAGTCGCTTTTGGCATCACTTATTATATTTTTACGTCATCAATGCCGGCATATTTGAATAATAATACCTTGCAATTAGTATTTGTTTGTTTCAATTTAGGCTTTTTAAATTAATCAAATATACTTAGAATCTTTTAGTTTGATTTAAAAATGATTTATTTTCATATTTATATTTGTTTTTTGAATCTTAATTTTTTTCTACATTATTAATAAATTTCTTTCAGCAATAATTAAAGTTATCACTTTGATGACGATACATTGTAGCAGACAGATGAGGGTCAGAGAAGAATCTACATACAATATTAGCTTTATAACATTTATATTTTTTAGTGGCATGACTCTATATCACTTTATTAATTCTATCTATGAAGGTCCTGGATATCTTCCATATAAGTGGGTTCCAGTACGTAGAATCGATAGTTCAAATTAATCTAAAATATATTTAAAATAATATACTTTTGTAGCTTTAAATTACTTTCTTATACAGAAAAATATAAAAGACTGCCAGTTTTTACAATTTTGTAATGTTTGCCAAGGATACAAAGCCCCACGTTCTCATCATTGCAGAAAATGTTAGTCACAATAGAAAAACTGAACATGTTATATATTCACATTTACAGTTTTTTTTTAATACCTATTTTTATTCTAGGCAGTCGCTGTGTCTTAAAGATGGATCACCATTGTCCATGGATAAATAATTGTGTGGGTCATCGAAATCACGGTTATTTCACTGCCTTTTTAGCAAGTGGTGTTTGTGGTTGTTGTGTTTCAACATATATTTTGGTCAGCTGGTTGATGACTGTGTTTTCAACTAGGCCTTTACCATTCAATCCACCTTCTATTTTTATATTAGTCTCGTCACTTTTTAGTATAGGCCTTTCGGTTGGTGTTGTCATAGCTGTAGGAATGTTATTATACTTCCAGGTAATCGTTATACAAATATTTTTAAGAATTAGTTATATTTTTAATGATTGCTGATAATTATATATGATACAGATACAATCCATTGTGAAAAATCAAACTGGCATAGAACAGTGGATTATAGAAAAGGCAAATTATAGAAGATCTATCACTGCTGATCAATTTACTCATCCGTATTCAAAAGGCTGGCTTTTTAATACTAAACAAGTACTCTCTTGGCATTGTATGGCACCAGGTGATGGAGTCACCTGGCCTGTCATTGAGGGATGTGATCAATATACTTTAACAGTTAGTATTATTTCATTAAAAATATTGACTACATATCAACGATTAATTAAGTAAAAAATTTTATTTAGCGTGAACAATTAGCACAAAAACAAGAAAAACGAAAAAGAGCCAAACAATATAGAGTTATCGCCAAAGTTACGGGATCTTGGGTTCCAATTAGTCATGGATGCAAAGTACTGTGTTCACCGCCAATCACCGACGAACCGCGAATAAAGTTAGATATTGGCGATACCGTTATGGTGACTCGATGGCGCAAGTGAGTCATCGATCTTGTGATTATATATGTACAATAAGTGTAATTTGATTGAAATTCAACAATAACCACTTATTTTTCTTTAACAGTCATTGGTTATTTGGTGAAAAGGAAGGTGTGATTATCGTATCAAATGGTAAAGATAATCGCGTTCGAGGCTGGTTTCCTCGACCTTGTGCAATACCAGTGAGCGGGAAAGATGGCCCGTTAGACGACTATTTTGATTTAGACTTAAATGCACAAGACTTCATTCCAAGCGCAAAGGTCACATCAAAATCGACTGAAACGGACTTTAATTATCGCGCGGAATACGTGTCTTCGAAAGCGTCCAAGAAAAAACATAAATAGTACAATTTAACGTATAGCTTAAGTAACGTAAATTTTCTAATATAGAACGTGACTATTTCATGACTACGGATATTATTTGTGTGAGATATTTTTACCTGAAAGTTTTGTATTTCGTAAAAATCGATAGCATTTTTGTATTCGTAGGCAAAAAATTAATCGACATTTGCAATTCACTCAGGCAAACACTCATTCCATTTTGTTACAGTCATTTCAAGCCTAAATACGTGTACAAATGAGTCTTACATGATAGTTTTTTGCAAGATATTTTTATCGATGAAGTGCCTAAAAACAAAATACTCTATAAATTTGCCAAACAAAAAAAAATTCTCTGCTAAGCAACATCAAGATAAAGGATACGTATAAAAAAGGAATTTGGATTCAGCCCACGCTTCGAAAAATACGGCCTGTTTAATGCAAGCGCTTGCCATTGGAAGATAGCCGCGAATTGCACAAATGTACGTGGGACAATCATGCCGATTATTGTGACAGACCGCGGACGAACATTCTTTTGAAAAAGACTCGAGAGTATATGTTGCGTACTGCACGCGGATTGTAAATTATCATTGGATGCAGACGTTCACCTGGATGTAGACAAAAGACGAATACTAGGCTGGGCCAATCAACCTTCGATTTTGAAAATCTGGTCGCATGTTATTCCGCTTGGAATATTTTAACCGCAACGCGCTGTTCCACGCCCGAATGAGCCGCCATTCCGATGAAAATCAATATATGTTAGTGTGAAAAGTCGCACGCTCGTGTGTATGTGTGTATTTGCGCGTAACACTACATCATACAGCACTAGCACAAAAAGAATGGGAGAGAAAGAGGGGAAAAACGGGAGTTTCGCCGTTAAACGTTCAGGGGGTAGTTTGGCAAGAGACACGCAACGCAATGGGCTGTCACGCAGAGCTAAACCTGAATATATGTATTTTTTTCCTTTTCTGAGCGAGTTTTGTTTAGAAACTGAATATTTTTTTCTCGAATATGTGTCAATAGTTGAAAGACAAGAAAATAAAATTTGTTTGTTTGTTGATTCTCTATTCTGTTTGGACGATTTCAAATTTAATATATTGAGTCACCAGAATTTTTCAAGTATTCGAAAAACAAATTAATGTATAATTTACTGTAGTCATGGCACTATAATTGGTAGAGTACACTAAAGAAATTAGTTTTATAAAATAACTTATAAATGAAAATTCAGATGAAGAATTTGAACCGGCATCAATCGAATATAATTAGCATCCAAAAGCATTTTATAATATTCGTTTGCACAAAATAACAATTCACCTAGTTATGTAGATTGTCGAAGAAGTATAATACGAGGATGATAATGTGGTGTACAGACAGCAGAGCTCGTGTTTAGAATCGTGTACGCGTGACCAAAAACGAAGAGAGAATGAGAGAGAGAGAGAGAGAGAGAGAGAGAGAGAGAGAGAGAGAGAGAGAGAGAGAGAGAGAGAGAGAGAGAGAGAGAGAGAGAGGCAGGCCAAATGCGAGAGCACGGCTTATACAGGTGTATAGCAGTTAATTTTCTGTATACGGCGAATATTGTACGGAATCGATTTGTATATGTATTGGTATTTTCTTTATCTTAAAAACGTTGCTTCGACGAATGATTTATCACGAATAGAGACCTGGAGGTCGTGTACGATAAGAGATTGTCTACCTTTCACGGGGGTGATTTTTCTTGATAGTGTGTTCAATTTGTTTCATTCGTTCATTTTTTTGTTGTCGAAACAACGATAGATAAGATATTCAATACAAATGAGGTTCTATCCATTAGATTGATTTTACTACATAGATTCAATTTATATATGGTAGTAAGGAGAGATGCCAATTTGGCCTCTTATGTGATTTTTTCTCTCTGTGTATCACAACGAAGATATATAATTTTTATTTTTGTACGTTACTTGTTTTGTTTCCACAATTGTAGTTATATGCTGTATACGTAACAACACCAATCTATACTTTCTTGAAAGTAGCCAAGGTTGATGGACCATTAAAGAATTAGACAATTTAACTTATACTCAGTCAACTCGAAGATTATATACGTAAAACTATTATGAAATGAAAAAAAACCACTGTAGATTACTAGTTTTAACGAATTGTGTGTTTTGATCTTAAGATGGGACATGGAATAAAAAAGTATAATTAAATTATAGAAAGTATCTACATTATTCAATAAATTATTCCGAATCACTTAATTTTTCTCGCATAAGACTACATGATATGGTAATTAATAATAGATCGATTTAAAAATAGATTATCGATAATGAAAACATTTTTTCGCATCATTTCTCGAAAATAAATCTATTTTTAATATTTTTTCTTGTTATATAAACACAGCAGGTACCTTGAAAATTTCAAGCATTATTGAACTTTGAAGTATATACAGAATATTTATTTATTTTACACTATGAATTATAGCGATCAAAAATTAATTTAATAATAAATCATCGAATCGAATTTAAAAATTTCCTAATCGTTTTTTACATCGAACTCCTTTATAATTATGATTTATTGATCTTTTCAAATCAAACATCATTGATATTCTATTCAAAACACAGTATCATATAAAGTCAGTGACTGACCTCCATTACAGCAATCAAGTCCTCCCACCCCACCAAAAAAAAAAGAAAAAATATACGGAGAATATAAAAATTGATCAGAATTGTTATAGCAAAACAACTGCCTCGACAGTGTGTGCACACATGTGTGGCTGAGAGTGAAAGTGACAATTAACGAAGGAGAATCCAGTCCAGCTGCGTATGCGATATATTCGATGGTGGGATTTTATAGAGAGGCTTTAGAGCAGCATTGAGAAAAGTCACAACTGACCTCAGTACTTCTCCACTCTTTTTCAAAGAACGAACTCCAGTGTGCGTTGTTCTTGACTGCAACTAACGTTCTTGGTTTACTGTAACTTTCTTCATACTCTAAGGTTTGCTTCGTATTTTTTTTAATCATTCTTATATTCAATGTACTTTTATTATTTTGTCTTTTGTACCTTACATTAAAAAATTATTACGATTCTGTCGGTGTACTGGTTTAAAAAATAACGGCTTAAAACTGGATAGAATTATATTATTGTTAAATGTTTCTATACATCATTATGTATGATTTTGAAGATAACGTTAGATGTCGTGGTGCATGTTGTCATTAAGTTTTGCGCTAAGTAAAAAGACGTTTAGTTTCAAAAGAGCATACATGGCTTTTACCGGAGTAAAAAAGAACGAAGTATTACACAACTTTCACGGCTTCGAAACAATATAAATATACTTTTTTCCTTAATTTTTGCGTCTTTGATTTTTTATTTAAAGAACATACTTATATTACTTTTTATTCCTATAACAAAATATCCGAATGTCATTTATACTTTCGCCATTCTTAAATTAAATAACGTATATTCATCTGACTATCAATACCTATCGCTAGAATTTATGATGTTAGCGATAGACAAAGATACTCATATGACACTCAACTGCACAGGTGTATTGAGCTTTCTTAGAAAACTCAATCTGCGTAAAATCTCAGGAACGCCTTACGCACGCACTGGCAAGTTTAGTTTGTACATCATATAGATCCTCTGCCATTTAGACTTGAGAAGCGTCTAAGAAAGAAAACACACGACTATGACAAGTCCAACAATCCTGACACTGACATGTCTGGCAGCATTGGCAAGTGGTTTTCCGGACGGTGCTCCAGTGGACACATGCGTGAAGCCAAGAGTCAATCAACCGTACCATGGCCAAGCTCGTAGTCAGCCGTTAGCGAGCAACCCTTACCAAGTGATTGCTTCGAGCGATAACTACCGTCCCGGCTCACAGATTACTGGTGAGTTACAGATAACCTTTTTTCTAAGTCCTTCGTTTGATAACAAGTTTTGCTTATTCTCTTTGTTGTTTATTTCATGAAAGAGGCGTGGGTCGCATACGCGTCCGCCGAAAACTTATAATTAAATCGTTATCGCATCTTCACCAAGAGTCTTGAGTTCCAATCTCTGCTGAAATAAAGCGAGTAAAGTAGAATATTACATACCATTGCTTACTTTTTGCGAGATGTGAACTTGTTATCGTGATGAAAAGAAAAAGAAATAAAACAAGAGTGGAAAAAAATTAAGTTGCTCTAGATAATAATCGGCCGTCGTGACGAGTATAGAGGTATAATGTTTTTTATTTGAAGTTTCGGGCGTAATTGTAATACGAGAAGAGCCGTGGAGAAGGCATACACAATAAATGTAACGTGCAATAAAATTTGACGAAGCGGAAAGATTCGAGAGTGCATTTCTCGCGACTTTGAACGTTTTTACATTGCAAAGACTCTCTGAAGGCATTCGTTGAATTCGAACGGAAGCTTTGCAACGATATCCATCACAGCTGGACTCGCTCGTCGTTAATCTTCGATAAACTTACATCTTTGGTCGCGAATTCAAAACGTCAACGCAAACAGACCTTTCATAGCCATACGATCGATAGCTACCGTAGAATGAAAAGGCGCCTTCGTGGTTCTCAATCAATCATGATTCACAAGACCTATAGTCTATTTAATTGGTCTCTCTCGTATCCTGCACAATTAGAATGCCTCGCCTCTCTCCCTCTCTCTCTCTCTTTCTCTCGCGAGAAAGCGATAAAACGTCTTTGTCATTAATAAGGTGTGAACGTATCGTACAAGGTCTCTTACGATTACTTAACGACGGATGCGCACACACGTACACACCAAGATCCTTATCGATTTTTCTCACTGCGGCTTTTATTTTTATTTTCATGATTTCTTGCGTAAAAGGATACGTTATAACAGTTATCCAACGACGGGAAGCTACACTATTCATGCGTTATTGGCGAAGATAACTCATACCTTAGCCATATTTAGACCATAAATCATGAATTATAATTACCAATATGATTGTCTATTTATCGTGATATATTTAGGATTGTTTTTCTTTAAGGCCAATCAATTCTTATAATGCTTGATTTCCGTTTAATCGCTATAAGCCAGTTATAATTAATTATTCGCTCGAGTAAAAGAAACAAAAACATTTTGATTATCTGAGATTGCAACGAATAAGTTATATTTTTAGGGGATATGAAATGAAATTAATGTTGTATCGTAAGACTGTCAAGTAATCTGCTAAAGATGAACCAGACTTTTATTTCGTTTTATTAAAATTGATCTATAAACGTAGGTATCGGTTCTCACTTTGGCGTCAATATTAGAGCCGGGAATATCATATACCGTATAGTTAAAAACACATTTACATTTCAATCCGAAAATCAATTTACCTAAGCACAAGTAACGCGACCAAGCTTCCAAGAATACGAAAAAAACACTTGGATAAATTAAATCCTCGTTCGTAAAACAATATCCGTAGCGCGACTTTGTTTGCTTAATTTTTTTATTCGTAGTTATAATCGCTCCACCGTTGAAAAATCGCCGCGTACACACGCGATATTATTTTCTTGTGGCGTTCGCTTCTGTGCCCTTGCTGGTTGTTTTTGAACGATATCTAATTCTCGGACAGATTCTCGTAGAGGAAATTGCCCGTCGGCATGGCAGCGATCAAAAGTCGAAACAGCCGCGAGAGAGCTACTTTAATTCTCCCATACAGTGCGCACCTGTTCTCTCTCTCTCTCTCTCTCTCTCACTCTTTCGCTTACGTAATTTTGTGAACGCCGGATGTTGTATTTTTTTTCTAATTGAATGATAATTGGGTTAGTGCAGTAGTTTGGAGTGACGGAATTTTTCGTGTCTGTGGTAAATGAAAGGAAAATAAGTGGGTTATGTCGTTATAATGACTTTTTGAATCTTCATTGGAGTGAAATTAATTCGCACGCAAAAGTAGAAAAGCAAAATGAGTAATATCCTTGTCAAGTTTATGGATTTCCATTTATTTATTTTTTACTTTTTAATATATATATATATGTGTGTGTGTGTGTGTGTGTGTGTGTGTGTGTGTGTGTGTGTGTGTGTGTGTTTGGGGATCGAGGATAAGCTTAAAAAGATCGACTATGAATAAACAATGCAATTTCCTATGAATAAATGACTTTTATTCAATGTACATATGGATTTGATAATCGATCAATAAAAAAAAGAGTATCTTATTTCCATACTTCTCAGAAAAAGGATATGCCAGTTCCTAAAGGGCTGAAGCTGTTTATCGCTGCGACAGCAAGTGACAAATTGATCAGCATAACAACTATGCGCCTTCTCATGCACACAATAATGCTTACACAGTGAAAATCCAAGGAGCAAACTTCAAGGGTTTCTTCCTGCAAGCTCGCGATGCGCAGACGAACGAATGGATCGGCTCATGGGCTAAAACTGCCAACACCAATGCTCACCACGAGTGTAGTGCTGTCACCCATAACGACCCGCGTGACAAGCAGCTTGCAACTCTCCTTTGGAATGCTCCTCAGAATGGACGAGTCGGCACTGTCTACTTCACGTGAGTATAATACACATTTATTTGCAGGACCGCCGATAAGAATTTTTGATTGACGACATTCTAATGAGATGCTCTTTTACATGGTTGTCAACCAATGTAAAAGAAACTATTAATTTTTTTTTCTACGTTTCCGTTTGATTTGTTTCAGGGGAACAATATTGAAAAATTATTCAACCTTCTGGTCCGACATCGTATCGCAAGTCGGTCGATAAGATTTCTTTTCTTCGTATTGAGCCAATATTAAAATGTAGTACGTGATCCCCAATCTAGCATACGACGAGAATCAGCGATATCATGTATTTTGTAACTTTTTGTTTTCCCAACATGTACTTAATAAAAATAAAAATTACTTGTTATTAGAGCACGTGTATCACAGTCGCGTGTAATTGATAGTTTTTTTTATCGAGAAGAGATCGTTTCATACGATGCTGCAGTCGCCAAAGGCGTAAAGTTGCAACTCGCTTTGCAGAGTTTTTTTCTATGCACCGAATCAACTTTTCCATTTTGATATGAATCACTGAAGCTGAGGAAAAGGTAAAATGCAATTGATATTGTATACAGCGTCTGTTTTTTTAATCGATAATGCACGTGCAATATGGTGGTATTGATCAGACTGCATTCGATTCTGCGTACTATTCGCTTCGATGAATAACAATAGGATGAATGATATTGTTGTTCCTCTGCTACGTTTATTACTTGGCTTTTGTGAAATCACGAGAGGCATCGCGTTCAATTTTGGTATATAGCAAGTAAATACAACGCGTCAAATATCAATCGGAAGCTTTTGAAACGTATAATATTTTAAATTGTTTCAACGTACAAATGCATATTTGCAAAAACATACATAATATGATATTAAGTTATAAATATGATATCGAGCACTTTTTATTTATTTATATAGCTGTTTCATAGTAGCCTCCGGGAAAAATCTTCATTTTTTCATCCACTCGTGTAATAACTAAATAATATAACATCGATGCATCGTATTTTAAAATAGCGTCTATCTCTACTTTGTGAGTCCTTCGCCATCTCTTATCAGTACTATAAAGTGTGACGTACTTTTGAAAGCTTAACAGCAAAACTATTGAAACAGTCGTATTGTTGAATTCTTAGTGTCTGAAGAATATGGAAAAAAATCTATATTTCACGCTCGCAAGCTCTATGTCCCAGATGAGAAAATTCTTGAGTAGTGCGCGCGGTGGAAGCAGGCACGCGAGGCTTAGGAGCCAAGCCAACCCCTGCAAGAAATTGAACTACGGCGTTCGCACGTACTTTATTCGAAATGCCGATATCTTCACAGCGTTCTTTGTTCTGTTCGTACGGTGAACAAAGTTCGCGTGAGGTATACGTGCTTATTAGAATGCAGCGTCAGCAAGGATCAAGTATCAGGATATTTGTGGTTCATGCGGTTTTAGCAATGTTTACTGCGTATGTTGTAGGTGTGTTTCATGTATGGGTGTATGTCTGTGTGTGTTTCTTTTTTCTTTTTTTAATGAGTTTTGGCATATTCACGCAAGACTGCGTTACGGTTTCAACACGAAAACACAAAATATATTATAAATATTATTTGTTAATTGCGGAAAAGTGAGAAAAAATAACAACTTTGTTAATTCGACATTTCTTGGTGGTTCAATGCTGATAAGGTGACATAAATGCGCAGAATTCTTTTACCGTGAAAGTTTAAGATCTTGAAATGAAAGTCGATAAATTGTAAACAAGTCATGTTTTGAGTTTTTTTTCTTTAGTAATCAGTGAAATTTTTGTATTGAAAAGGAATCAGTAATCGAGAATCTTTTCACAACCAAATTTACACGCGATTACTTCATTAAAAACCAATCCGAAATGAATCACACGCACAACTTTGGTCATCGCAACTTTTTCTTTCGTCAAATTTCTCTAATCGATCTCGCGTTTACCAATAAGAGCGGCGCCAAAGTTACGCGAAGCCGGGCGATTACTATAAGAGACTGGTTACACGTGCGAAAGCAAAAAAAGCGGTAAAAGTGGGCCACAGTCGCAACGAACGGGTTTCCAAAAGCAATCTGTCAATAAAGATGCGGCACCGAAAAGGAAAGTTGCCCCATTATGCATGACGACTGCTGAAGTTTCCTAATTGAGTATATACGCAGACGCGGCTGTCCTTTCTCGACGTCACGAGATCGATTTAGATAGTTTGGAAATGGATCTGCCACACACAACTTTGATCGAGTTTTTCTGTATATATATATAAACATTGCAAAAGTGAGATTTTCTTGAATATTCGAACGAGCGCGTTAAAAGAGAGGACTCTGCATTTTTAGGCATCGATCTTCTAACAAGGGCAAAGGTGATTGCACGTGCTCGCGCGCTCTGCCTTGATGTGACTCAACGCGCGCTGATTCATCGCGCAGCTTCTCGTTTGCACACGTGTATTTCGCAATTATCAGTGATCGCGCAATGATGTTTATTTGCTCGCATATCGCGAAATAATGAACTAGCATTAGTCGTAAACACCGTATAAATTAATATATTTCTCCACGCTATGAAATTCGCTCAAGGATATTATAGACAGCGATATACATATATCAAATTGAAATAACAATCTCTTGCCTTGTTTTTCATAATTTTGAACTAAGCTCAGTCGTATCAAAATAATAATAAACCTGAAACTCACAATGTGAGACAGGTGCGTGCTGTTAATTTTTGCTGGCTATATCGACTTGCCAACCTAGAAAACAATTTAAATTTGTATACCGTGCACACCTGAGAGAGCGAAAGAGAAAATGAAAACAATTTTCTCACCTGCGACACCATTTCCAGCTTGCGCAGAGAAAAAGTACAACGTTGATTATTGTAAAAGTGTGCTGCTTGAATTATTCCAACAACGTGTCGATTGAAATAATTTTCTGTCAGAGTTAATTACTTGACAATCGCACTCTCAACTTGTGCAATATTCCAGCAATGCTTTTCTTTCTCTATTGATGATTACCTAGTAAACTGTATTTCATGGAGATTGTAAATAAATGTGAATTACATTTCCGAGATAAAGTATAGCGTGGACAGAGATTAAGACCAAAATAATCGCGCAGCATAGAATATGAAAAGCTAAAACATTTCATCAAACCGGAAAGAATGTGTGAGAGCATTTCGATGTTACATACAGAAAACAAGCATAGTTTGCGGGCAGACACCCGAGGTCAATCGTTGTAACGAGAAGGCTGGAAAAAAAAGCGATTACGAACCCAATTGCAACTGTTTCATACTGCCAACAAGAGACAGAGCCTTGCCAAAAGGACGCGCGGGTCTTGGCTCGTAAGCCTCTTTTTTTGCTTTCTTCGCGTGAGACTCGGCTAAAGACTAAAAGAACGAGGGCTTTTGATGAAAAGATGGTCGGTTATATCAAATTGGATGCCATTGCTGGATTCTTGTTGTTTGAGCTTCTTCTTTTTTTGAGAGTGTTTTGATTGATACTCTTTATCGCGCGTTGCTAGACTAATGGAGAGCGCAGGTTATTTCGTAAGGTTGAGATTTCTTATATACTGAATTAAGTTTATATTTATTTTATCATAACTAAATAGTATGTTATTTAATTATGAAAATAATATTTATCAATTATACTATAGGGAATCGTAGTAAGTAAGTTGTTTTAACTGAGTGATTTTTATAATATCCGACAGAAGAATGTGACTTTCTGACCCCGTAACGCGAGGAATGAGAGTAGGAATGCAATTAACGAAAGGTATTCAGGGGTGTCCTAAAAGAAAGATGATTTATGCGTTTGAAATATTGAAGGATTGTCAATGAATACGAGAAATAGACGATTTAGAATTAATCGAAACGTTAATGGGCATATCCGCCTAGTATTTAAAAATGATCCATCAACTTTCCTGATAAGCTAGAAAATCGCTTTTTCATCACAGAACGACGACCAATCGCTTCTAGAAACAAACACAGAAAACGGAAAAATTGATAACCACCCCGAAACGAAGCCATTCATTCGTGTTTCTCAATCACGCAGCCTTTGAAAAATCAATCAAGCCAGTAAATCGCAAAAGCTCATTCGCAACAGAAGGGAAAAGAAAAAACGAAAAATCCGCATGCGAAAAAAAGAAGCAGAGGAAAATCGCATAGAGCAAGCACACAAGAGACAGCACGCGATGTAAAGCCCTCGCTTAGCATGGGCGCAGGAGGGGAGGAATGTAGAGCGCCGGCGCCCCGACGTCGTGGCGCTCGAACGACCATACGACGACGAACCGGCAGCTTTGCCGCGAGCTACGTAGGTAGCTGCGCGTCAGTGCTGCTGCTGCTGCGGGCCGCGCGCGCGCCGAGCCCGAAAATACAGAGCGAGCGTACTGAAAGAAAGAAGCAGAGTAGTGCTTGTAGTTGTGCCGCTGCGCGATATCAAGGAGGAGAAATAAGGGGGTTGGTATAAGCAAGAGAGCGAAGGCGCGCGCGCGCGAGAAAGGGAGAGAGAGAGAGAGAGAGAAACAAAAGGCATATCACGTATAATTGGACATCGAGCAGCGGGCTCTTTGTTCTCGCACGCGCTCGACCTGCATACGCTTAATTACGCGCTTTCGAGAAAAACACATACAGACGTAGCTGTTTTGCCGTTTGACTGCGGACTCGTGTGATTGCAAAAAGCTTTCTCTCTCGCGCTCGCTCGTTCGCTATCTCGGTCGCACGGCGTAGGGGGTTGCGCCAGATGACTCACACAGATACGCGCGCATACGCTGCTTGCGCAGGTGAAAGCCAAGCAGGCACACGCGCTGCCACTGGTGCTGTAATGCAGCGCAGCCCGAAGTCTGATCGATCAGCGGCGTGAGAGAGAGAGAGAGAGAGAGAGCGAGAAACGGCTAGAAGCGAGACGAGCGCGCAGTGTGCGGGCACAGCCACGCGCCACCGCAGATATGTGATTTTCCCGGTAAATTTTATCACCAGAACGACCATCAGATGTATCTTCACCAGCGGCTTTCCCACGTCTTTCTCACCTCTAGCTCATTTTCCTCGGGCTCGCCGTCGGTAAAGGTCATCGAGTGTAGAGTCGCACGCGCGCGAGCGCTATCGATGCGCCGTCGCATGCACGTCCCCGCGAGCGACCGCAAGGAACGCGGGTAGTTTTTTACACCAGCATGGGCCGATGCCCGGCAGTTTTCACGTGCGACTGACCTCTTCGTGTCGTATATAGCAGGCGACGTCGAGACGATTATATACTGCGTCGTGTACGCCCGTGAAGAATATCGGGCGTGCGCAGCAACGAGCAAATCGCCCGATGATTTGCTTATTCTTTTTTTCTTCTTGTTTCTGCGATCAAGGCATAGATTGCTTTTCTTTTCTTTGCGCTGCATTTCTTGTTTTTTCCTTCGCGAATCGGACTGCGTTTCCGTTCTGAATACATAACCACCACTAACAATCAAAACGGGTGGCAATTAGGTGTAATTTAAAGGGAAAAAGGCATGCGAGTGTAGTTCACGACACATTTTATAAACGAAACGCAAATCGATCAACTACGCAAGCGGCGACCGAAATATGTGCATTATTAACTTCCCGCGTTAATAAAACAGCAGCAAGCAATACCTCTCTCTATATACTGCTACTACAAAATATTTAATTTGGTTGATTTCAAAGTCGTATTTACGTAATTACAAACCCATGAATGCGATACGTGTGTGGCGTTAAATTAACATTTACCGTTTCGTTCGTATCGAACTCGACCATACGTACACCTTACTCAACAGTATATAGACTTTATTAATAAAAATGAGTTATTGCATTTACACCGGAAAATGCAAACATTTGAAAATCCCCTCTTATAGTATCTGTAGATCAATGCCGCGTTTCAATTACGTTCAAATATAATTGCGCGTGTGGGTGTTTGATATAAATCGGACGAACGTTTATCAGTCTGCGGCCCGTACGAAATGAAAGAACGGCAAAGCTTCAACAAACTTTTCGCGCTTAGATAAATCGGCTTTACAAAGTGCGAACGGCGTATTTTAACGAACGAAAATAAAAGACAAATAAAAGAATTCGCGGGGGTGTAGATACGACGGCAGGGGAGGACGAAAACTGAAAAAGAAACTTGTTCTGAACTCCCACGCACGCGGCGATGGCGGCAACGGTAGCCTCTTCCTATTCATCCTAACGTTTGCACATCGTTTAGCCGCGTTTCTCGTCCGTCGCAGTGGCCAAACAGGAAAGCAAAAAAAAACCTCGGCTGTCCCCGCTGACCTGTGACGTACATATATACATTCCAAGTCGCTTCGAGGAAATGTACACGTCAGTTCCATACGCTCAGTGCCAAAATAATAAAAAATAAAGATAAAAATACGACGCGAGCTTATTTCGGAAATTTACGTAATATTGATTTTAAAAAAAGCCTTATTTTGCGAAAGTAAAAGAGAACTCAGTGATTTAAAATTTTTCTCAATTTTGAACATTCCATAAACGTTATCTTATTAACAGTTTCCATTTCATTTCAAGCTGCAATAAATCTGCATTCACAATATTGATAATTTTTGTTATTTCCGCGTTTGGATTATATCAATTTGAGCGATGAAGTGTTCGTTCAAACAGCATCGAAGCTCGCTAAGCAAACTTTAAACTGCAGAGTATCTTTGGTGATCGGTTGACCAATATTTCAGTAATACAACTCTGTCAGAGTTACATTAAAATATTCCATGAGTTTCCGAGGCTCCGGTCATAAAAGCTCGCCGATCCACATCTTTCAGTCGTGTGATAAACAGAAGTGTTTTGTTTCTCGAGCAAGAAAGGCAGAAGAAGGGGGGCGGTGAAGAAGAGCAAGCGCGAGAGAAAGAGAGAGAGAGAGAGAGAGAGAGAGAGAGAGAGAGGTTGCCTTAGTGAATCGGAAGGAGCCTGGCAGCATCACGGGGCATCATCGGCGGCGGCGGCGGATCGGAGTGGCAGCGGCCTGACCGCGGCCCCCAACGAGATGCAGCGCAGCTTACTGTTGCTGCTACTCCTGCTGCCGGTACTAGCACTTGGCCGACCGGACCCACCAAAGCCCGACTCCACCGTTCAGCCAGGTGAGTCTGGCCTCTTTTTAAAGACACGTTTAAGCGTGTTACTGTGGTTTTATAAATGCAGGAAAAAAAAGACATTGAGTATAGTTGACGATTCACAAAGGAATAAAGAAGAAGCTTATGCCAGTTATTGTGCTGGAAAGAATTCACGAGGTTGGTCTGATATTTTATAGACAAGAGCCACAGTGCACTCTTGCATTATTGAACTAATGGAGTATTCTCTTTGACGTGATGCGTATTGTGTTAAATTCTTTGGCGCTATACATACTCTAGATGCCCTCGTTAAACGTTAATGATTTTAAATAAATAGACAGATATATAACTCAGCTTTCGACTAGATATATTAAATCAGAGCTAATGATATTTACAACATGTATGTGCATGTGGTTTCAAGCGTTTATGCTGTAACAAACCGAAAAATTGAATTACTCGGTAATTGTGGGTTTGTGCTCGAGTTAAGCAACAATGCGATCGAATGTTCAATCAATTAAGGCCAGTTTTGCTCTTTGAACTGTATTTTTCTAAACTGATTTCAATTAGTTTTTCATTAACGAACTTTTTGCCAATACCTCGATTTCATTTCAAACGGCGAAAAGTTGTTTTTCCCCTTTTATCTTATACACAAGTTAAAATTGGAAAACGTTGTACCCTGCGTAACATCTCTCTCAATCCCGTTTTCATTTTGTCGGAAGTAAATACTGTTCCTTTGAATAAACTGTCTTGCGAGAATAATTGAGTTTAATAAAACTTAACAACAAGCGATGTCAGATTTAGGTGAAATATTTATTTTTATGTATTCGTTTTTCTGTGATCGTTTCAATTTCAGTAATACTAAATAAATTAACATAATTGCAAATTATATTTCGGAAATTTTCGTATGAATCGAGATCGAGTGCAAAATTACTCATGAACCCATTGTAATCTGTAAAGTGCTATTGTTAACGGTTCTTTAACCTCATGTGAGTTTCTATAAATTTTCCAAGCTGTTTTGTAGTATTTTCTCGCTTGTGTTAATTAACTTTACGTATAAAGTATTTAAAAACTCATCATCACTTATGTAAACGCTAAATACTACTTAAAAAGAGATTTTAATAAATAGAAAAGTTTGACAATGTTTACTTAAAGAATCCCACATTACAAATTAATACCGACAGTTCAACTGTTCAAGAAACTAAATATAATAGCGTGCATAAATTATAGAAGCATATTGTGCGCTTGCTAACAGTATTAAATCGATAATTCATTACACTGTTTTTTCGTATAATTTGATAAATTTACGCAATATTGCAAGCTTGATAAAATACATGTATATAATATCAATTTCGAGCCTTCATAGCTCCTCTACTCTTTATTGATATTACCGTCTTACCCACGAAAAATATACTATTCGAGCCGCAATAATCATAAATAAGCACCCTAACAATAAAAAAAAATTAGTCCTACTATGAAACATTTATCGGACTGATTATCTTTAACGATCATTTTTATTGGTAAGTTATTTTTGTACGTCTTGAAAAACGCAAAAGCGACTTGTAAACTCGGAAAAAAATTTTCGTTTCACCAAGAGTCTTTTATATACCTTGAGCAACTGGTTCGCGTGAGTGCAGCGCGAGAGCGACTTTTTAAATATGAAGTGGCTCGAGGGAAAATGTTTGTTTCTTAAAGTTTGGACCATATTCTATCTCGTAAAGACGTTGAAAAGTTTTATGAATTGTAAGACGCGATGAACTTTAGAAAAAACATCGTTGCGCTCTCTCATATTTTCTTCTTTAGTCAAACTAATCAAACATTTGCGAATGGCCACTTGCCAAGCATCGTTGAGTGGCTTCGACGCCATGCACTTTGTGCTCTTGGCTGTATCATAGCCACGGGGGAAATGAACTCAACAAAGACTTGCTTTGTTCAAGTCTTTTATTGAAAATCAATGTTTAGTAACTTCTTTGTTATAGTTCAACTCTGCAAGGCAAAAACTTGTGTACTGTACACGGAACTAACTTGATACGGTCATTTCGCGCGTTAACGATTATTTTTATCAGCGTCGTTGGAAAAACTTCATCAAGGATGCACGCACTGTCAACGTTTTTATTTCAGATAGATATCAGCTTTCGATGTCACTAGCGATACTAATGCAAATAAATTTCTTCAAATCATTCTATCAGGAAAGGTCAATCTCAAATTCCTTTTTTTTACGCGAGCCTGAAAAATAAAAAGAAGCATGAAAATTTACGTCTGTTTCTAGAATATTGCTGCTCGTTTACTGTAATATCCCAGCGGCTGTTGGTTGCCACGCAGCATTATACAAGGCTCTAGGGAGCTGACCAAGAAACGTGAGCAAGTTTTTAGAAAAGCTGCAAAATCATGCGCCGTCGATCTTTCCACGTGGACTTATTTACTAGGTGAAAGCTTCCGCGTGTGAGCTCCTTCGAATACAATGCCGTTCGCAATTAGCTTTCTAAAGGACAATGGAAAAAGTGGGAATCTGATTTATCGGGTGGAGGATAAAAAACAAGAAAGCGCGAGTTTTCAAATCAGAAAACTTTGGCTCTGCTCTACAAAGCACTCCAATGAAGCAAAGTAGTAGAAATCAGTACACAAAACATGCCATTAATCGGCCAGATACTCGCGGCACCAAAGCTCGTAAATCGTGCGAGAGCTTGCAAGCTCTTCAGGCTAGTGAAACGTCCATTAGTTGTGATACACCTCGCGTCAAATGGGAAACCCATCAACGAGCTGCCCTTCGATGGCAAAATTTCCGGGATTAAAGTTCTGGCTCTGCCTCGGGAAGCTAGCAGTAGTGGATGACCGCGCCAATGCTCTCACTCGCGAGGAGGAAAAAAGGAGTGGGAAACACAGAGCTTCGCCCTCTCGAAATCTTCATTAAGCCGTGACTCGCTATTCCTTTCTTCAAGACAATGGGCTAAGATGCCGGAGGATACTTAATTACCCTTCGTCGCGAAGACGTCAATTTTTTCCTTTCGTGAAATTACATGCGACCACACATTGCTTTGTAATTAGGACATGCCCTGCGGGCCAAACTTGAGCATGCGGACAGCTCATGTAGGTGGAAACTACACAGGTACTGTTGTTGCTGCGCGTACGTGGATAGTAAGAGCTGAAGAGAAAGGCTGTAATGTTATAACTGTTCTAGGAGCGAGGAAAAGAGGGAGAGACTTGCTCTATACACACTATTTTCAATAGTGAGTCTGTTTCATGACTCAACTTCGTGACTTGCCTTCTGAGTTGGACAATTTTAGTGGTCATTTCGGGGGTTCAATGTCGCATCAGGTTGTTTACTTTGTAAATGTTGTCATTGAATACCTCGAGCTAAATTTACAATGTAACTTACAATTACATCCTATCTTTAAATTATTAATCTAGAGGTAAATTTCAATATAGCTCTGGAAAATATTAGTTTTAACGTAATGTTCCAGTTTAACCGACATGCATTCCTGCATCCGCTGTGTATCGCTGTGCTATTTGCGTTGCGCGAGAGAGCAAGCCAAAACAAAAACGCGCACGTGCAATTAACTGCAACTGTTGCAACTTATCTTTTCTTACCGTCGCCTGATGCCCGTTCTCGCTACAGCAGCCGCTCAATTTTCACATTGAAACTTTCGCCAGAGCACACGGTCGACCCTAATATCACTGGGAGGCAGGCGCATAAATTAGCGCGAGTGAGCTTTGGCTCTTTCTCTCATTCACTATGCTGGGCTTTAATTCATGGCAGCACCTGGGTATGCGTGTTTGCGTGAGCGTACTCATAATCCTATTACTCGTTCCGTTAAAATTTCGATGCTCCGTGATATTTGTTTCGTCGTCGCTCGGTTAAATTGAGATTTTCTCATCTTGAAATCAGATCCGTTAAAAAAAATGCGTGTTTATACCAAATCGAAGGAGATTACTGAAACCTGACTGAAAATTCGATCCGAACTAACGAGAAAGACAAAAAGACATTGAAATTCTCTTCTCCGAGCGAAGGGCGGAGGAGACTATCCGTAAGCCAATTTTTGCAGCAATCAACGAAGTCACCCATCGTGCGCACCAAATCGAAACTACTGCAATTACTCCTACGTCCGATTGCCTATATTCCTCGATAATGATGTAACTGCATTGGGCAACAAAAAGGAAAGGGGAAGTTTAGAGAGAGTGGTCTTGTACGGGGCTAAGAGGGACAACGCATTAAGTACAACATGCTTGCGCGCGACTCTCGTTCGCACCGATATAAATTCAATGTAACGATATGTGGTGGCCATGCCGATTTCTCGCGAGTCTAATTTTATAATCAGACTAGCCTCGCTTATTTTGTACTTTAGCTCGCGTGTACGAATGTAGTGTGAACATTTAATTTGATTTACGATTACACTTCACCTTTTGATTTAAAAATGATTATGTGCGTGGTGCAAACTTTTATCATCTGCATATTTTAATGGGGCATAAAAAATCCTCTGATGATTTGTATTATCACTGTGTTAATCCATTAGAATGACATTTTTCTCTTATCCATTTAATATTCTTCGAACACAAAAGACTAAGTACTTCAGCTTTGTCAGCGAAAGTTTTGACTAAAACTTATCAAAGTCCAAGCATTGACATTTTCGAAAAAGAATGTGAATGGCGCGCGCAGACCGTTAACAAAGCGAGCAAAAATAGATGCCAACGAGTAACGACAACGCAAAGCTTTATCTACTTTGCACTACAGACGCCATGTCATCGCTAATCCAAGCAGCTGCCTCGAACTCAAGCAGCTTTTCATGCAGCTCTCTCCGCCGTGTCTACTTGGAGGCAGCAAAATAAAGGATAAAAAATTGAGAACCCGCTAAAGCCAAGCCCACCACTGCCTGTCTGTCTCTTTCTCTCTCTCTCCCTTTCTCTTTAAGGGTTTCGAGGATATATCGGAGAAAACTGTCTTTTGCTCCACCACCTATATAAAGTGACTATATATACGGAAAAGTGGACTTTTTATTTCTGCACTTTCTACTCATTCATTTAGACTCAAAGAGCAA